CTATAGGTTAGATTGAGGTTGAATTAAATTGTGCATTCATTCTAATAGAGTTGAACCAACATACATGCTTAATATGGTTAAATGTATTAAATGATCAAATATATTATATGAATTGTGTGTGTGTATATATATATGTCTAAGGAATTACCATAAAGAATGACTGGTCAATCATTCATGCTATATGTAGAAAATGCAAAAATAAGAATGCATGAGAAAAATAAGTCTAAGGAATTTTAAGATATTTTATATTTGATCTCACAAGTGGTGGATAAAATAACATGTTTGAAGAAATCTTTTACTAGTAGTGGTCTCAGATTTGAAAGTGACAGTGAAGTGTATTGACATTTAAAATTATTTCAGACTTTTAAACCGTCAGCCTTCAAAGGTGCAAGTGATTCAACAGTAGCTAAAGATTAGGTGTTAAAGACAGGGAAGATCTTAGATGGCATGATGTGTTCTGAAAATAGAAAGGTACCATTGGATACATTTATTCTAGAAGGCGAGGTGAAAAGGTGGTGGCAAGCACAACATAGAGAAAAATTTGGACATATATTTGTCACTATCATACAATAAGATGATATTGTGAAAGTCTTCAAAGATTGTTTCATTCCTCATTTAGCCAAACTAGCTCTTCAAGACAAATTCTTCAATTGACTTAGTGTTCAAAAACGATTATGCAATACAAAGCTGAGTTCACTTCCCTATCCCACTATGCTCCTCATTATGTTAGTACCAGAAGGAGAAGTGTCACATATTCTTGAGAGGCATTAGGGATTAATAGTGACTCTCATTGGCACATTTTGATATCAGTGAGTTCTCCGTCTTAGTGGAGAGAGATAGAAGGTTTGAAAATGACATGAATTTTTCTAAGCACTATTTGGAGCAACAACAAATAGGTAAAATGAAGATATTTGAAAAGAATGATCGATTTAGAAATAAGAAGCCAAGGTTTTAGGATAAGCAAAAGTAGAGTTAGCTTGAAAAAGCATTGTGTGAGTAGTGTGAGAAGCTGCATTTTGGTTAGTGTTTGATGGGATTTGGGGATGTTTCAGATGTGGTGAGTTGGGTCATCGTAGGGTGAATTGCCCTCAAGAGAGAAGAACTAATGTCATGCTACAAGGATATCAGGGGTATCAGGAGCAGACACAATATATGAGACATCTAGATGGAAATCAGGCATGAAAAACTCAATTTTAGAGAAGGTCAACAGTGCAAGAAAAACCTCCAATTCAGTTAAAACGAGAAGCATGAGATGCTAAAGGTAATCAACCTATAAAAGCTAGAGTATTTGCCATTACACCTCAGGTGGCCAAGGATTCAGAGGAGGTGGTTACATGTATACTTTTGATTTCCAATAAGTTTGACATATTTCTTTTTATTCTTGTGAGTCCCATTCATTTATTTCCAAAAACTTTTGTTCTGATTTATCTGTTGAGACTGTATATTTTACACCTACCTTGTATGTTATGATGCCAACGGGGGATAGTTGCCTATAAGAAGGCGCTTGGAATAAAGTGACTATAGAGAGCTGAATAAAATGACTATCAAGAACAAATATCCACTATCCCGAATAGATGGCTTGTTTGATCAGTTAGCAGGTACCATAATATTTTTTAGAATTGATTTAAGATCGATCAAGGCATCATTAAGTGAGAGTTAAAAAAATTAGATGTCAATAAGAAGGCTTTTGGGACCAGGTATGATCATTTTGAGTTTAGAGTCTTACTGTTTGGGTTAATAAATTCTACTGCTATCTTTATGGATACGTCGAATCAAATTTTTAAAGACTGCATAGATAATTTTGTGATTATTTTCGTTGATGATATTCTGATATACTTAAGGACTAATGAGAAGCATGCTGAACATTTAAGGATAGTTTTGGAGACATTAAGAAAAAAATCAACTGTATACAAAATATTCAAAATATGAATTTTGGCTAAGGAATATTTCCTTTTTGAGGCATATTATCAATAGTGAAGGAGTTTCAATAGACCCACAAAAAGTAAAAGCAATTATGGAATAACTTACACTAAAGAATGTTACAGAGGTTCGTAATTTTTTAGGATTGGTAGGATACTACAAAAGATTTGTTAAAGGATTTTTTAAAAATTACTTTGCCTTTGTCTAAGCTGGTGAGAAAGGATGTTCTGTTTGAGTGGACTGCTAAATATGAGCAAGTTTTTAGGTATTAAAGATACTTCTAACCACAACACTAGTATTGACACTTCCCTCAGGAACAGAAGGATTTCAAATTTATTGTGATGCTTCTTTGAAGGCTTGGGATGTGTTGTAATGCAAAATAGAAAGGTGATTGCATATGCATCGAGATAGTTGAAGCCCCATGAAAGAAATTATTCCACTCATGATTTAGAGCTGGCTACAATGATATTTACTTCAAAGATTTGGAGATATATATTATCTGTATGGGGTACGATGTGAAATTTTTACTAATCATCAAAGCTTAAAATATATATTTTTACAAAAAGAACTCAATTTGAGATAGAAAAGATTGTTGGAACTTGTCAAAGATTATGATGTAGATATTCAATATTATGTTGGAAAAACTAATATTGTGGATGATGCTTTTTCTCACAAATTTACAGGAATGATGAATTGGATGATTACTCAAGAAGTTCAATTGATCAAGGAAATAAAAAATCTATAATTAGAGATTAGAGATTTAAAAAATATGGAATATTTGCATCAGATGACAGTTAATTATTAAATCGTATTAAAGAATCTCAGAAATTCAGTATGGAATATTCAAAATTGACGGAGCAGGCCTAGTCAAGAAAAAGACCAGATCTTTCTGTTAATGTTGATGTAATTATTATGCACAAATTCCAGTTATGGGTACTTAGCGATCTGGATAAAGCACTCCGATTTTGACCTAGATAGGAGGGGAGAAAGAGAGCTATAGAGAGAACTCTTGTATTTTTCAGTCATCGCCATTAACGATCACTACCAGCTATTGCTGCTAACAACCATCATCACCACCGACTACCGACATAAAAAATCAACACCATCAACATAATAGTAACAAGATTTGACCATGTTGCTAGGTATCTTTGTCTTTCTATGGACATCTATTTCTATAATCTCTATTGAAAAAATTAAGCCTTGTTGTTGGTTATAGGCTATCCCTCTATGAAAGCTTTACTTTTGTACTCTCCCTCTTCTTCAATAGTAAAGAAGGGATGATATTTGTATCACTCGCTACATAGTAAATTTTATAACTAGGTCATACCCCGTGCTTTTTTCTCTTTTCAGTTTTTCCACGTAAAAAATGCTTTGCTCTTACAACCTTCATTTATACATATTGAATTTTTATACACTACTAAGATGTGCACACACTCTACTGACTCAAATTTTCTAGCACGTAATAATTTGGATGTGAATCAGATGAAATTTGGTTTTGTTAGATTTGTCTTTTCAAAATGTTCAGTTTGACCATAAACTTACTGTGAATCACGTAATTTTTTTTTTTTGAACGGAATATCCATCCACCGTCACCCCCGAAAGGGCACTTGGTGGCGTGACTAATTCTCGGCTGACCTAGAAAAGACACCCACCCCAAAAATATCCTCGCCCGCACTTAATTTGACCCCACTTAAGAATCGCTGCAGCTCAAAAGTTGCATTTCTAACTCTGGTAAAGTAATTCGTTTGAAAGTAACTAAGGAAAAAAAAACTCCATTAAGAAGTTCATATCTATTCTGAAGCAGCTGGGTCCTTGTCTTCAGTGATTGCCTATTCATGTAATATAAAATGCCTAAATTATCATGGCGACAGTATTTTGGATCTTGTGTTTGAATTTTGGTTTTTTTTTTTCTCGGAAATAGTTATCATTTAAACGGTTGAGATGTGAATTTGACCAACGCCCAACAGATCTAATGACTCTTTTTTTCTTTTTTTTCCAACAAAGCCCATGCCATAGTTATGGAGAGATTCCAGCTGTATATATGCTCCAGTACATTTCCAGTCAGGCATTCAGAAACCTTAATTTTATAATTTGAAGCTCCTTACTTAATATTCTTTGCTCTAATTAAAAAGGTCTGATATCTGCAGTTAAGAAATGATTAAGGTACAATTTAAGTTACATGCATCTTCAATCACCTCATTAAGAGCAATCTATTTTAACAAGTTTATCTATTATACTATAATCTAAATACATACTAATTATTGTCAATATGTCAGATAAAAAATAATGAGAAAATGCACATATTTTTAACTTTTTTTAATAAACATTTTAACATATCAAGAACAATTTTAATTATTCGAAACTTTTTTTTTTTCAATTTTTTAGATCTTTAGCATGTAACTTAAAACTCAACTGATATATATTTACATAAAAAAAATTTCAAAATAAGAATTGTGTGGTATATTTTACTAAGTAAGATTTTTACAAATCTAGTTGTTTTTTTCTGAGTCATTTGCTATTAAGGAACAGGAGCAAACTAAAATAAGTTGATGAAAGACATGCTTATTTTGTTCTTTTGCACCTTCCCAGAATAAAAAACACTTCTTTGGCACATGGGAAGTAGGACCAGTGAGAGTTGAATTCAAGTTCAAATTTTTAAATGCACATCAAAAGTAGAAAAGTAGGTTGGACGATACAAAACCTGTCTTGATCCTACAAAAACTAATTATTAGATTATAAGGTTCATATTTCACATGAAAATACTAAAAAAGTTATGAAATTTAACTGCTCTGTCTTGTTCCATATAGATAAGGAAACAAATTTTTGGTAGGCAATACTCATCATTATATAGAGTTGCTCCAAAAAAGTACTGCTTAAGAAGCTTTTTTTTTTTCTTAGAAAAATAAAAGACAAAAAAAGTTCAAATTTTGAACGATTCTTTGCTAGGAAAGAAGGCAACTCACATCTTTCATCCCTAGCCGTCCAGATCAAATTCAAAGGTCTTAGCTACAATGTAAAAAGGTTCCTTTGGAATAGTATAAATGGAGTTCTTTGTTTGGATATAGCAAAAGGAAAGAGCAATGGAGGATTCTGATTGCTCTCTTTCTATCTCCACCCTCATCTGCCATGAAGACCAAGCTTTCTCTATTGATGATGATGAGATACAAAAGAATGAACTGCCTCACCTTCCTTATAACTCCTTTCATTTAGACACAGACGACGACTACATAGAGACTCTAATATCCAAAGAAATTAATACCGAAAGCACAAATATTGAGTTCCTTCTTCACTGCGACTGGCTTCGCTGTGAAGCAATACAATGGATTCTAAGAGTATGTTAGCTTTTAATAGATTCACTCGCATCATATTTTCAATCTTTTTTGTTTTTCAGTTCACTAATAAGTATTTTATGTTTCCCAGATGAAAGAATGCTTTGGCTTCAGCCCTCAAACTGTCTACCAGGCTGTAAGTTATTTCGATCGTTTCTTGATGCGGCGAACCATTGATGTAAGCTAAAGAAGTAGTTTTTATACTGTTTTGTGATTTTTTTTCTTTGCTTCCAGTATTTTGTTTCAATGGTCGCTTGTTTTTCAGGATGAGAAATCTTGGGTGCTTCAGTTGTTAGCATTAGCTTGTCTGTCACTAGCAGCAAAAATGGAGGAAGTTACTACACCTGCATTAATGGATTATCATACTGAACAATGCTATTTTGATTCCATTACTATTCAAAGAATGGAGCTCCTTGTCTTAAGCACATTGGAGTGGCGCATGAGCTCTGTGACTCCACTTTCTTATATTAATTATTTCGCTAAAAAGTTCTATGGAAGAAACTTATCAAGAGAGTTGCTCTCAAAAACCATTGGTTTCATATTTTCAATACTTAAAGGTATGTTTTTGTCCTTTTTTTTTTGCATTTTCACAATATATATTTTGGCTTTTGTATGCTTTCTAGAACCCATTAATTTGTTTGTATCACTATTATAAAAATCAGATATCAACTTGGTGGAATTTCGAGCATCAGTGATAGCTGCTGCTGCTGTTCTTGCTGCAATTGATCAGAAATTAACAATAAAAGCACTAGAATCTAGGATGAAATCAGTCTCCTCTTCAGGGCTTGTGGAAACAGTAAGTTGGAAACTTATCATTTCTTAATGGAGGGGATAAGTATGACATTGTTAATGTTTGTAATTTAAAATTCACCGCAGGAACTTGTATATTCATGCTACAAATTGATGACATGGGAATCAAAGAAGAGTTCCATATTGTCAAATTCAATGGATTCCTCAGAGTTGTTTGAATCAACCATCGACAACTTTGTTGATGTCAGTGACTGTTCATCACTTGCTGGCAATAGCAATAAGAGAAGAAGGTTTCAGAAGTCTCAAATTGATTAAAGTTCACTTTACACATACTTGTGTGAATAGAGCAAGGTGTTATGATTCTGGTGCAGTTTTTTTTGTAGCACAATATAAGATGTGTCTTGTTTGCTCTTGTTTGAGGATGCTTTAGCTTTGATAGTAGTGTAAAAAGGAGAGGAAGAAGAAGAAAGTGGAGAGGAACTTTAGTTCAGAGGAAAATAAAGCTGACTGAGGAGGAGAAAAAAAGCGCTAAAAGGCCTACAAAGACTGGAGTGAATAGTGTTTGCAAATGGCCTCTAGGTCCACAGCTCTTATCATTCATGAATGAATTTATCTCTGATATGGTGAGTGGGCTTAGTACTTTGTTCAGTATATATATTTTTACTGACAATCTTACCTCTAATGAAATGATAGAGGTGCTTTGGATGCTTTTTTTTTTCTCTGAAAAGGATGGAAGTCTTTGATCAGAGTGTTTGCCTGCGCTTTGATGCACTTTGCTGTTGCATTGAAGTGTAAAGATTGATTTGATTTGATTTCTTTTGGATCTTCTTGGAAAGGAGGTGGTGCTTCCTGTGCTTCCTTTAGACTTCAAATCAGAACTATGTTTTTATAGTATCTTTATTTTTCTTTCAGCTCCTTTAGTTTCCACAATAAAAGGAAGAACAAATTACTTTGTTCAACAATGTGATTAGTATGATCCTAGTATAGTGTAATAGGGGGCATGAAGTATTTTCATTGATATAAGAGAGATTTTTCTTGCGTTAGCTCAAGAAAAATTCTTAAGCTAGTAGTATTTGTCAGTGTTTGGCTGGTATAATATTGTGTTACTATCAATATCAACCAATGCTAAGCACTATATTAACCATTAGAGGGAAAAAAATTTCTTGAGCTAAGCTCACATAAATGAACTATACAGTACTTTATTATTTTTTATAACTTTGTTTCAAATTCAAATGAAAAAAGTTATCTACAGCTAAATATTTCAATATTTTTACCGGATTAAACAACCCTATAAGGTAGGTATATTCAATCCTATGAAAAGATTCTTACAACTACAACTAGCTGGTAATTCAGAAGCAGAAAACAGTAGCTCCAGCATAGTAAATGATACTTATTGAGCTCTTTTTCCCTGCTGCTTGTGGTCATGGATGTTTTCTGCTTAGGCTTTGTTTGGGACAGCTTTCTTACTGCTTATTAAAGCGGCTTTCTAGTATAAATTTTTTAATTTTTGTACTAGAAAGCAGCTTTAAGAAGCAGGAAGAAAACCATCTCAAACAAAGCCTTAATGAAAGATAAGATCTCATGGTGACAAACAAGACTCCTGCTCCCAGTGCATGTTAATGCTAAGGTGGCTGGGTAATCAACCAAGTCAGCCACACTAATGCAGTCAAAGGGGAATATATATATATTAGCTTGATAAATGTGATGATTTCAAAGATTAACTCTTTGGAAGTAAGTGGTAGCTCTCTTGCTAGCTGGCCCTGTCTGCAGCAGAGAAGAGAAAATGATAGAAAAATAAAAGGAGAGCTTGACCAGTGTAGTTGGAATTTATGCAGTCTATTGTTGTTCTGCCCATATCTGAAGAGCTAAGGCATCTCTCTACACCTCCCAAATAAAAATAGAAACTAGTAAACAAAGGTTGGTTCGTCTTCAAAGCCCAAGAAAAGATAATTGGAAATCTAACTTTGACCTGGTCAACAATTCAATTTTTATAGCCTTTAGTGAATGATGATTCCTGACTTATTGTAGTTCATGAAAGCTAAGGCATGGATTAAAGAATTTAGGGGAGGAACAGGTGCTCTCTTAATGATTATTATTTTTTTTCTGCTTTGATGATGAGAATAATCGATTGGTGCCCCATAAAAGCAGGTTGCAGCTTATCCTGTGTTGCTGACATGTTGCACTAACTAGAGTTTATGGAGGTATATTCAGTGTTGGATATAGGGATTAATTATTCTGTGCAGACGCCGAACATCGTTCGGAGACCAACCATAATGCGCCATGTCACCCCTTCGATCGGTACCGCAGCTCGGTACTGCAGCTCAATACCGCTGACATGACGCATTCTAGTTGGCCTTCGGATGTAGTTTTGCGTCTAGTCTCTGCAATGGATCCCTTGTTTTCCTTCTCTTGGGTTCAAGTCTTCTGAATCCAAGCTTTGTTTTGAGATTATTTTGCTTAAGAATTTTGCTGTAGATGAATATGTGTGCTTGCATGCTAGTTCAGTATTTTGAATTCATGAGTTTTGCATGCTTGCCTTTAAAGGATTTTTGTTTCTTTTTTTTATTTAGCAAAGTACTCTTCAGTCCCTATGATTTACTTCATTTGCACTTCTCTTTGTATTTTAAAAATACACAGATAGCCCATGTGATTGAATAGTTTAATATTTTACTTCAATATTTTATTAAGGTCTGACGAGGTAAAATATAAATTTGATATTTTATCCAAATTACAAGCTAGTTATGATATAAGGGATAAGGGAATGGATATAAGAGTAATAAGCTCAGAAAAATAAAAAAGATTTTATGTTTATTAATTATATCTTTTTTATTGCGATAAGTATTGAATAGTTGCAGCAGAAGTTTTTCCAAGCCCAAGTAGTTATATTAACCAGCAATTTAAGAGGTCGCCAAACACTTTCATTGCTATAAACTTCAATAACATATTATATTTTTAGATTTCATTGAAGTTTCATTTGGAGCAATTTTCTTATTTATTTCGAAAGTAGTTTTTTAGTAAAAAGAAATTTTGAACTAAAAATTTATGTATTAAAATGTTTCTTTAAGAAGAAATAAGAAAGCTTTTCCAAACGAAACATAAATTAAATTTTCATAAGAAATTTGAAAGTTTGTAGAAAGTACTGTCAAATCTAAGGGTCTCAAAATGGGGTTTCTAGTTGGGTTTGGGTCCAATCCGAAATTGAATTGTCTTCAACCTATGACACGAACCAGACCCGATTTGCAAAACATGTCAGATTCTCAGACTCGAACCCAACCCAGGTCTAATTCGGGTCGATCCAACCAGACACGCCTACTCGCAATGCAACGACTACGAGATGTGAGAGGGTGGGAAACACGAGCGTGTGCAGGCGAGCTTGTGGGTGGCACATGCGGGTACGAGTGCAGGCTCGGAAGTGAATGTGGATGCAGGCACGGGTACGGGTCAATAAATGAAACCTAAGCCTAATCCGAACTCGAAATTTTTCAGATCGGGTTCAAATCGGATCAAACTAGATAAAATATTAATTGAATGGTTGGAATGATCATACATCTTTCTTGAGAGAAATTTGTTGTTTAACTTAAAAGTTAACTGCATGAATAAAATCAAAAGATTATTAATCTACTAATTAAACATTGAGTTCTTAAATATTATTGCATTAGTAACACTACAAATGGTTAAACTTCTGACCATTTTATTTGTTGCGGGCTAGAATACACGTGGCGATAGAGTTTGTAATTTTACGTCCAAGCGTTGTACGAATATTTAGCACACACAAACAGGAAAGGAAAAAATGAACACCAGGATTTTTACCTGGAATACCCGAAAGAGGGAAAAAACCACGAGGCCATGCCCAGGTGAAGTAATTCCACTAGTGTTTGTTTGAAGTACAGAGATTGATTCGTCCCACAAGTCAGGACGATCAGATTACAATCAGTTTCTTCTAAATTGAAACAAAGTTACAAAGTTTTGCAGAATTTCAACGTCTACCGAAAATCCGGCAGAATTCCGGCGTATTAAGACGGCGGAAAGAACTCCGGCGGTGGTCGAGGAGGAGCTGATTCTCCTCCTTCTTCTCTTCTCTTCTTCTCTCTCTTCTCACCTGAGTCCCCTTGTGAAGAATGAGGGCTCTATTTATAGTTTTTTCTAGAGTGGCATGACTTGTAAATAGGTGTGAGATCAGGGGTAAATAGTGAGTGGTCAAATGGACGGCCGATATTGAATCCTTCGATCGTACACCGTTCGTTGGACATTTGAAGGCCTTAGTGATGTAGGAATTTGGCGATCTTGGGCTCGTTGGATTCGTCTCGTCGAGCCGCTAGATTCGACTATAAGCTCGTTAAAATCGGAGATCGTTTGGTAACTCAAATTGTGGTACGAGCTTTCCAACAGCACTTCGGGTGCTTGATTTGGGCTCACTTGGGCTCGGATCGATTTGAATTCGGTGTCGTTGGGTTCGTATTTCCGAGACGCTCCGTTTGACTATAAGCTCACTAAAATTGGAGTTCATATGCTCCTGAATTTATTTTTTGAAGTTTATGGTTCGATTATGCCTCGAGATTCGTGCTTGATTAAGATAATTTTTTGAGAATATATCAATATTCTATTTCTCTCTTTTAATTTTTACTAAGTTTATCCTAATTAACATTTAGTACTATTCAACAATTTGTCGGAGCCGAACAGTACAGTTGCAGCCAAAATTTTTTACAAAGTTTATCCTAATTAACATCAGTCGCACAAATTTACTCCAGATAGTGTTGAACCCTTAGCATATATGCTTTATGAAAAAAAAACAAACTGAGAATATTCTGATCGAATTTTAATTAGGAAGAATTTTAAGGTTAATGATTTATTTTAAAATAAGTTAATATAAATTTTAGTTATTCATAATGCAAATTTAATACCTTAAAAATGATCCTAACAAAAAATTAATTAGTGTTGCGACCAGTAGGCTGCCTTGAACAATTGTAATCTCTATACTAGGAGAAATTTTTGAATGCGGATTAATAGGAGTATATAGTTGTGTGCTCTCTTTTTACTATGTCCATAATGGTGTACTTCTTGTATGCTCTAGTTTTTTAAAGTACACAACTAATACCCAATTATGTATTCAGATACTTTGCTCGTGGACACGTCATAAAAATTGTCTTGATTGGGCATGAACCTCGAGACTTTTTATTTTTTAAAGATATAAAACCCACTAACAGGGGCCTACGCGTTAATGAAAAGAATTATTACAAGTCCTTAATGAATCCAAAGCTCTCTAAAAATACATCATTTAAAGAAAAACCTACGAGCATTTGATTCAATCTAATTATAATAATCAAGTAAAAGAAAAGACAGCAAACCAAAAGTCAGAATCACATAAAGAGCCACCCATGAGAGGGTATCAGAAAGAAGCTAATGCCAACACCTCAAGAGGACCAATAAAATATCAACCTGTAAGAAATGAAACAACAAAGAAAATGCAAAAGGAGAAGACAATTAAAAAGAACAAGCCACCAACTACCCAACAGAACAACCAGCAACAAACAGAACTAGAGACAACATAGCCAAAGCAGAAAACACAACCACCCCCAGCCCAACAACACCACAAGATTGGACCAGCCAAATAACCACACAACCGACAACCCCACCCCACCAAAATAGAACCAACAGGAGAAGAGACCCCTCCATAAGAACAAGCAAAGAATAACCAAAGAAACAAAGCACCAACACACTCCAAGCAAACCGAAGAGCAGCACAAGAGAAAAGAGGAAAACAGCCAACTACCCAAGGAAAACAGAGCCAACAACATAACAAGAAAAAGGCAAGCAAAAGGAAGATTATTTCTTTTTATAATTCCTATGTCTTAATTTACCAACTTTTTTTTTAAAAAAAAAACCTTCCTCAACAATTTGAATAACATTTAAGTTATAAATTTCTCGAGAATCCACGCCATGTCATCAACTTCCTCCCCAACCTCCCAGTTAGCTGAAGAATTACAATCAGCTAACCAATCCCCTTGAGACACCTCATTATCCATCGAATTGAGAGCTAATTGAGATAACAAGGCATCATTAGTTACAAGAGAAATGGGCATATCAATGAGAGAAACTTCGACATTCATATTCATAGGATTAACACAATCGGAAACAACAACAGTGTTATGAACTGGAGCAGCTACAACATTAGCAAAAAACCCCAACTCAACAGGCACGACCACCCCAACATGCAACTGCAAGATACTCCCCAAGTTTCATGATGACATAAATAGGGTTAACATCAACACCATCACCAAAATTAGCAATAACATAATTAACATCAACACCATCACGAACATTAGAACAAGGGGACAAGATGGGACTAGCTATAAGGTTAACCACACAAGCATTAACACCCTTTCTTTTTTCACAAGCAACAGCCAAAGGCAAAGCATTATTCGACCGATTAGCTTCCTTCTCATCATGGTCGACAACATCCCCATTGTCAATAACACGAGGACCATTATCCATCAACACAATAATAAGAATCAAATTCGGGGTAGCTAAATTATTCAAAGTTTCCAAAACATTAGTAGTATTCCCAACAGAGCTAACACAATTAAGAGCAGTAGAAACTAGTTTTGACATGCCTAATTGGAGATTTAAAATACAGCATTCCTTTTTATCATGACCCAAAGCTTTATAGTGATCACATAAAGAAAGCAAATCTTCCATCACAACAAATTGAACACGCCCCAAGCTATCCAATCAAATCCAAATACAATGGAGATAACATTTAATGATATCCAACTCAACTAGAACCCACACAATCGAAGGACGAGAGCCCACAGTAGTTGCATTGTAAATGCGCAGAGACCGACCAAATAATGAACCCAAGCCATTTAAAATGTGAGGAGAAAAGAGGTGAGGACGCAAATTAGGAAAAGATATCCAAATAGGTATAATGGGAGATCAACTGTTAAATCCAAGTAAGGAGACCACTTAACCAACTTCATGAAGCAATTATTGACAAAAGCTCTACAGTAATCCAAATCATTCGTAAGTTTAATCAGAACATGCTTCACATCCAAGAGAGTCATAAAAATTTCACCAGCAAGCTTAAGATTAAAGAAGAACTTCCTAGTTGATTCAAAAGCTAGTCTCTTATTGGAAAATTTTCCAACCAACAAAAATTTAAAATGAGCAGCGATAGCCAAAATTTCCTCCTAAAAAATTCACAGTGATGGCATACCTTGATAGGTCAACATTTTAAGAGGCATGAAGGCCACCTAAGAGACACCGATCAAGGCATCAATAAATGGCCTAAAACTATTTTTACCACAAAGAAAATCAGGATCGCTCAAACAAACCCGATTAACTGCCATCCGACAAAGTCGGAGGAGGAAAATCAAGTAAGAAAAGAGCACATCCAGGAGAGGACATGAAAAACAAAAGAGAAAGAATAAGAAACTTCACTGACATGAGCTCTAATAAGGAAGAATGGCGGCTAGGGCGAAGCCTAACAGAGAGGGTGAGGAGACACACAAGAGAATGAATCTCGAGGCATATCTAAATTAGAAACTTCTAGGATTAAGTTTAGGATAATCTGAACTTTAATTTTAGCTAACTTATAATCAAAATGAAAGCCTTGATAGATAAACCAGCGACACAGAAAAAGATCCAATTCGTGCTCAAATTAGCTCAAATCAAGGGCCTGAAGTGTAATGTTAAATTTCATGACATTAATTGGATGACTTAATGATACACAAATATGGTATGCTTATAATCGAATCGAGAGGCTTGAGGAGATGAATCCAATGAGCCCAAGATTGTTTGATACTGATATAATTTATGTACCTAGGTGTTGAATAAATGGTATATGATTGAAAAATCAATATAAGTCGTGTGATAGAGTGCTACGGATTTTTTCCATATTTATGAGGCATGTCAATCCAAAAAATCTATAAATAAACCCTCACTTTCTACATAAGTGAGTAAAACGATAAATAAAATTATGATACATGATCTGTACTTAATAATTTCACTTATACAAAAGTACTTTTGTAACATGCAACACATACAGGATTGCTTAACCAACATAAAGTCCTTTACAAATGATTCTGCTAGGTGCCTAGCATCTTGAAAAGATTAAGGCTTCGTTTGGAATGATTTTTTTACTGTTTTTTAAAGTAGTTTCCTAATACAAAAATTTTTTGTTTCAAGAAATTCTTGTACTAAAAAACTGCTTTAAAATACAATAAGAAACCTATCCCAAACAAAGACTAAGGCTTCGTTTGGGACGGCTTTCTTATTGCTTATTAAAACAGTTTTTTCATTAAAAATTTTTAATTTTTGTACTAAAAAGCTGCTTTAAGAAGCAGTAAAAAAATTATCACAAACGAAGCCTAAGTTTGTTGCACACATGTAATTGTTTATGGTTCAATTTGGGTGTCACTTGTTTATAATTTGATTTACATTATCATGATTAGACTTCTAGAAAGATGCCATGGAACAGCAATGAGTCAACAAGTTAAGAGTACTATATATATATATAAAAATTGAGCTTGTCTCATTTGCTTGAGTTTAGGATCATTGAATAATAATTGAATTTCTTCTACAGGCTACACTGTTTTTTTATATTTGAGGAAGGCCAAGCTTGTGAAGAAGTAAACAGGAAGGTGAGGCTTTTATAAATGCAATGCACACAATGCAAGTTGCAAGGGCTTACTTAGATGGTATGTTGATATTTTGGTGGATATTTAGGCTTCATTTGATACGACTTTTATACTGCTTCTTAAATCAACTTTTTAATATAAAAATTTAAATTTTTATACTAAAAAATTACTTTAAAAAATAGTACAAAAGTCATCCCAAATGAAGCCTTAAAAAGCTTAAAATTTTGTTTTCTGAACATTTTAAGTTGATAAAATAACTTTTTTGACAACAAATTTTCAGTCCTCTTCATATAAGGAGAAAAATTCAGTCATGAGAGCCTATGTCTTGAACATGTTGTATTTGCCTCATAAACATTGTAAAAGTAGCCCTTCTTCAATAAATTTCAAAGAAAACCATGCTTTTTGCTGCAAAATTTTGGGAAAAATCCAATAAAAGGAGACTTTAATCTAAACCTCTTTGAATCCTCATATTCAAAAATTCCTTTTACAGTAATTATTACCATTGCATTTCTAGCTCAAAGCAAATTCTGTTATAAAACTTTTGGATATGGATCATTATTGTTAGCATTGACTGACAACTGGAAGCTATAGTTGAAGAAAAAACAACTTGCCATTTCAAGTATCATGGTTTGCATATGAATTTTTTAGTACATAAACACTCAACAATATATAAGAAAGAAAAAGAAACGACGATGACCAAAAGAAGTACAAGAAGACAAAATTGAGTTAAATATTTCCATTAAAAAAATGGAATCGTAGACAAAAGAAAATTGAAAAAAAAGTTTGTGGTCCTCGTATACAGTTTTAGAGCAGCCAGAGAGCAGATACAAAGGCCAGCAAAGAGATCTGAAAATTTTGGTTCTATCCGTTTCTCTGTCCCAGACAAAAGTACTGGATTATCTGCTGAGATACTGAAATGAATCAAAATAAGCAAATCTGAAACATCTATGTAGAGGAAGCTAAATGATCTTTTTTCTATTTGTTGGGAATTTTGATCTCAAGCCAAGGCTTTATTTGGGACGGCTTTTTTTACTGCTTAAAACGACTTTGTAGTATAAAAATTTTAAGTTTTGAATTAAAAAGACGTTTTAAGAAGCAGTAAAAAAGCCATCCCAAACGAAGCCTAAGTAAAGTCAGGTCTCCAGCACATGGCTTCACCTAGATTCAACTGGAATCAACTTAATCGCAGCAGCAATTGGCATGCTTAGGAACCCGATGAACACAGTAACAAGCCACTGCCATGGTGTAAGAGGTGTTGTACTGGCAAAATCACCAAGTAATTGAACAATTATGACTTGGAAGATGACAGTACTGATGACAACTCCAACAAAGATGTAGTTCTGTAGGATGCCATGGAGTACATCAATTTTTTCCATCTCTCTGGAGCTAATCTCATTGAAGACCTGCGTTGAAATCTCGTTTGAGCAGCAGAGTAGCATGCATAAATAAATAAATTATCAAAACATGAAGAATTTTTTTTCAAACATAAGGGTCATTAATCCTAAGGATTTATCTGATATAAGGTCTTTTACTTTGAAGTAAGGATTTTTTACACTTATACAAAGTGTTTGATCCAAATCTAGGAATCCTTGAAAGTTATTAGTTTTATATATGGTTTTATAGCAGTAACTCTAAATTTGAATTTGGCCGTATTTATAGCAGCAGATGTAGCTCATTCTTAGTGAATGATTTGTGCGCTAAGTATAGCATTAGTCAAATACTAAAGCTTTTCGGCTGAACTGAATCAATTTTGCTTTGCAAGTACAAACTGAAAACCTTTGATAGTAAGTTACTAGTTTTGTTTTCTTTGAATTTGAAATTGCAACTAGCATATCTGGTGGGCATCTGCCATGTGCATAAAATCATAAACGAGGGATTATTTACCTCTTTGATAACAAATTCATTCCTAATTATTGCATAGAATAAATACAAAAAATCATGGCATAAGTCCATATGTGCCTGAAAAAAAAAAGCATGAAAAAATATTCATAATTCACTCAATTTTACCTATGGAATATGGCTAAATTGATCATGTTCTTATTTTCCTCCAAATATTGGATGTCAGAAAGGAATGAAAAACATCCAAAAAAAAAGAGGAATCATCTTCTTCCAACCCTCTTATTCCGATCATTATTCGCTTTAAGGTTTTCATTCCCTTCAAACGGCTTCAAGATTGCAAAAATAAGTTTACCACTCTTCTTATGAGCACTAAGTAAGAATAAGAGAGAGGTTATTGTATTTTAGAAGAAGCACACCATGAGCCCGCTCCAGAACTTGTCCAAGGAAAAGGTTGTTTAGCGTGCCTATTAGGCACCATCTCATGCTCAAGTGGCAAGTTTTTTACTTAAGACTTCAAGCATATTTATCATTAAAAAAATATTGGTCCAATACAAACTATATTAAGTAAATATGCAGAGGCCTAAATTAAACTATCACTCCATTTACCAAGAGCTACCACAAGCATTACGAGATACCACAACAGAAATAAAGAGGTTTAGAAAGCCATACCTGACAGAAAACAAATGTGTTGAATATAAGTGTATTCAAGGTAAGTTCAGTTGTAGGCCCCTCAAGATGAAAAAGCCGCTTCCCTTCTGTCTGGAGGTACCAAATTACAATAAACTGGTAGAATGCTTGTCCTAAAATGTTTCTCCACATTATATTTGTGATAAAATTGCCTTTTCTTCCAACGGGTGTTCTTTTCATTAATTCATCATTAGGCGGTTCAGTAGCTAATGCAAGAGCACCTAAAGTATCCATAATCATGTTGACCCAAAGCAGCTGAACAGCAGTAAGTGGTGCATTTCCTAGAGTAACAAACAAGTGATGAAAAGAAGGAAATAAAAAAGGTGATTGAAGCTAATGAAGCGACAAATTTAGGCTTCGTTTGGGACGGCTTTTTATTACTTCTTGAAGCAGTTTTTTAGTATAAAAAATAAAAATTTTGTACTAGAAAGCTGCTTTAAGAAGCGGTAAGAAAGCAGTCCCAAACGAAATCTTAAGTTGTATTTGTTCACCTGTAAAGCAAGCTGACAAGAAATTAACAATCAGAGCAACAATATTCACAGTGAGTTGAAACTGCACAAATTTTTGGATGTTTATGTATACAGAACGCCCCCACTTCACCACAGTCACGATTGTTGAAAAATTGTCATCAAGTATTATGATATCAGCACTCTCCTTTGCCACCTAACAAAGGAATGCAAACTTGTCTCACTTATTGCGAGCTATGACATAGCTAATAATACAATGCCCATTATTCAGAATCATGCTAATATTAGCAATTTCAAACAATGCTAGTTTTCTATAGATGAAAGTGTCTTTCTGTAGAGTAACTACAAGTACATGAATGACTGAGAAATAAAGGAAGACTTATCAACCATTGCATGAATGATCTGCATATAATAGAATTAAAATAGAAGTGTCATACAAAGTGATAAACAGCTGCATACACAGGTTGTTAACTGATAAGCTCATAAATAAGCAAGCAACCAGTTCACTGATTCTCCACTCCACCTTGGCCACAGACCTGACAACAACAGCAGCAGAGCACCTTTGTCAGAATTCGGTTACAGCGCTGATGGCTGGATTTTTCTTTTTTGGGATATTTAGGCTAATTAAGGCAAATTATCACACACATTACATGCGCAAGACTCGAATCAAAGACTTTTTAGTTAGTAGTCAAAGCTCTCAACCAATAGTTAAGTTGAGTCGTGTACTGATGCCTGGATGACCTTTCATCAGCACCGTTAATCAGCAACAGCATACCTGATGCTTTCCACTAACTTTATAAATACTAAACTAGGCTGTAATAGAAAAACTAGTTTAAGCAATACAAAATTATTTCTTCTGCTCTGCATTCTTCCTCTTCTCTGTTCTTTCACTGATCTCTTTTTTTCTCAGTTAAGCAATTTCCTTATGGTATCAGAGCAGGGAAAAGCTTAGCAGCCTCTTCATTACCCAAGTAGAGGAGAAATTACATAAAAACTACAGAAATTCAAGAATAAAATATGCCACTACAGTTGGCACAACAGTATTGAAGGTCTATAAAGCATAATTCCTAATATAGACTCACTCTACAGAACAGACTCCATGGAATATTATGTGATATGTTCTTTTAAGAACATTTAGAAGTTAAATAAGTAATTTCCACTCTATTTGCAAACTTAGCCGTCTAGCATTTAATGTGCTATTTGTGGGCTCCGAAAATTCGCGCCTAGCCTCCCCTTTTTTTCGGGAGAAGTTTTAACACTTTAAGTTCCCGGGTAAATTTTCAGAAGGCAAATTGAGTTTGTAGATAAGTCACTAACAAGAGATTTCGCCCTCATTTTGACAGGACTTTATGATATGAGTTATGGTTTCATATAGGCGCAAGCCCCTGTAGTTAACTACCTCTCCCAATAGCGAGAGAGAATTTTCGATTAAGGGTAGTCATCAATCAGATACGTAAGATACATGTATCTGACATATAGTAGCAACATGGGTTTAGTATTTGAATGTTTGATATTTAAAATTAGAAATTTTATCATCTTGCACTTAAAGTGGATGGTGCGAGAATGGATGGACCCGATCAAGATCCCATGGTTCCATCATCCCATGTCATCATGGTTCCTGGTCTACTAATTAGTCAGAGTAGGTAATCGACCTAACCTGACAGAAGGATCCTTGTCGACAGCTATGGGTTACGTCGTCCAAGGGTATCTTGTAGACCTTGGGTGAGTATTTGTCTAAAAGGACAAATTTGAATCCACCTTAGCTGACAGAGGGCTTTGTGTCCTATTGATTATATCTTATTTATTCATGTGTCAAGATTTAGTGTCATTGGGGAGCATACAGACTCTGAACTTGATCGTAATTTAGTGGGGTCATTTGGCGGCAAACCACCCGGTTCAAAGGGCCCCGATCATAACCATTTACTTGCGGTGCCATTTGAGGAGAAAATCGCCAGTTAGAGGACATGTTCCACGCCCTTGCTGGCAAGAGATTGTTTGAGAATGAATCTCAGTGATATTCTCGACCAGACATTAACTCTTTGTGAGCTGAAATGATATTTGAATTTGTCCACCTCGACAAACTATTATGGAGGATGGATGAGTTTGGCTTTAAGTGTTTAGTGATTGATTTCAATTTTAAATATTTGAATTTTAGAACTTTTGGAATTTGGATTTTCATGGATATTGATGTAGTAAAAAATTATATAATCTTTTATGCTTGCTTTTTTTTTATATCCTATGATGAAAGACAACCGATGATCTTGCTAGGTTGGTGCTCTTAGGAATTTCTCTCCCTTTTCCTTCACTTTGTCCCTTCGATTTCTGTGTTGTTGTGTGTTGCTTCAGTTGTTGTTCGTTCCCCCCTTTTTTGCACGGCTTTCCCTATTGTGTGTTGCTTCAGTTTTCCCCTATCCCGCTATCTATTTCCCTCCCTTTTCATGGTTTGGTGGTGGTTGGTTTCCCGCTGGTTTCGTAGGCAAAATTTGGTTCTCTATTTACTTTTCTGGCGGTTTGGTTCCCCATGTTGTATGTTCCCCTCCCTTTGTTATTTTCAATGAAATGTTGGCTCTTATTTGATGCTTGTGGGTGGCACATTTATGGGGCTATTGGACTCTTTTTTCCCCTATATATGGGAGTTGTTTCTTGTTGTTGGAGAGGAGTTGTTGGTGAAGTGTTTACATACAAACCTCCGGGTTTTTAGCTTGCAAGCTAGTCTCCTATTCCCTTCTCATCTTATATTTCGTCTTGGTCTTCTTACTCTTCTTCTATTTCCATGATAACCGTCCAACTGTATCCTTCTTCTCTTGTGAACTTTAAGGTGTTTGCTGCAACATTTCGGTTGGTATTTACTGGCGAAGGGTGGTGATGTAAAACAAACTAGGAATTGCTTAAAAATTCATAAAATTTGATATAAGCATAGTAACATTAAACTAATGTTTCACCAAATGGTATTTAAGAATTTAAGGATATCAAAATTGTTACGATAATCGGTTACACAATAGAAGAACAAGAACTTAAAATAACTTCAAATGTAAACATAAACTTAAATGCTGTAAACTTTTAAATCCACCACATAACATTTAAAAAAGTCACCTCGAGTTTCCCTCACTCAGGTTCTTTAAAGGGATTTAATGGAAAGAAGATGCCAGCAATCTTAGTGATGCCACCAAAAGTGATAGGACACCAAGTGTCTTGATCCATGGGAAGGTAGACGGAGGAAGAGACGCGAGTGGATGTCCGACGATTTGTCACTGTTCGCAGGGTAGTTGTTTGTCGATATTCTCAGCTAAGTGGAATAGGATACAATCGACGTAATCGTCGACGGTGTCTTATATCTCCCAGTCATGGTTGAAGAACGGCGATTGAAGAATATCTATTTGCCCTTGAGAATCGTATGTGAAGCCGTGGTCTACTTCGTCGATAGTCTTCAGTCGATGTCTTATATCTTCCAGTGGGAAAGGATGAATGTCTTCTTCTTCTCTTGGAGTGTTATTCATGAAAGAAGAAAATCCAAGAGGGAGGAAGAGAGAAAGAGGGGCGGCCAAGGGAGGGGAGGGACTTGTTTTGTGAAGTTAGGGTTAGGGTTTGGAATAGGGGAAGGTGACTACACAACAACAACAACATCAAGCCTTTATCCCACTACGTGGGGTCGGCATAATAGGGGAAGGTGACTAAAATCTGAAATTAATTTCATATTTAGTAAAATAAGAAAGGGTTTTGAAATTTGATTTCAAATTCAAGTGGAGGGTAATTAAAGTGGAGAGAGGAGAGAGGGCTAGGAGGGGGTCGGCGGCATGTGTGGGAAGGGAGGGGATTGAGGGGAATAAAAAGCTTCTTAAATCATGAATCTAATTTAGGAAAAGGATAATTAAATCAAATCTAATTTAAAATTAAATTAGACTTAAATTTAGGAACTTTCCTAATTTAGCTTTAGTTAATTTAGAAAAGTACTTGAAATTCAAATTTGAATTTCAAATTGAGTTAATTTATTTCTCAAATTGCTTAGGCTAATTTAGGTAGGTAGTAATGATGATTGAAATCATCATCAATAGGGAAAGGAGGGTGTCGCCGGCGATGGAGCTTAAAAAAAAGGCTTGGTCGGCGGTTGTGGGGGATTGACCGGTGGCTATGTATGGGGGAGGGGTTAGAGGCTGATTGGTAGGAGGATGGTTAGAGGGTGGCCGGTGGTTGGAGCAAGGGGGGGGAGGCCGGCGGGTTGAAGGGGTGAGCGGTGGTCGGCCGGCGGGGAGAAAAGGGAAGAAATAGATAAGCCGCGAGCCACAGACTCTTCCAATGACTGACGGGTATTACATTCACCATCACCTAGGGTTCTCTCTTCTCTCCAGTGCACACACAAGAATAAGACAAATCTGAAATTTCATTCAATCATTCATCCCCAAAATACAATAGAGAGGGCTTTTATATATCGGCCTCAACGTGACAAAATAAAAGGACTAAAGTGCCCTCTGGGCTACAACATCAAGCTAATTACCCATAGGGGTAAAATAAGAAAAACTGAAATATAAAATTAAATAATACATAAAATACATCAAAAATAAAGGCTCCTGATCGTAGCCGTCGATCTCCGATGTCTCCTCTGATAAACTCGCCAAAATCTCCTGTTGATATCCTCATCAGATGGACTTGTGCCGGATCGTTTTAGTGGTGGATTCCGGGATAGATCTTTCTTTGAGCACATATCCTAAAATTTAAAAGCTTTGCAGGTGAGGTGACCACTTGTTGGTTGTTCTGAAGGTAACTTTATTTTACCTTTTCTTATTTGTTTTTCCTTTTGGATATCGTAGCAGTTTTCTAAATAGACTTATTTCTTTTTTGTGTTTTATTTTGTAGATGTTTATGAGTTATTGAAAGGAAGAATTCTCTATTTGCTTTCCTAAGTGTTCTCCATAAAATTTTTAGAAACTTAGGTCGCATCAATTTGGTATCAGAGAAAGGGTTGTTGTTTGAGTCGTATAAACTACGGTTCGTTCAAAAAGGATCATCGGACTTGAGCTCAAGTCCACTTTTGACCTGCGCAGCATCCTCAGATGCCACATGTGTATATACATGATGCTCGTCAAGGCCTATGCGAGTATATGATTTTGAATGCATTTTGCATGATGTGTTTGTATAATGGTTGTGAGTATGTAATGTAGTGGATGTACATGACATATCTATATGCTCACATACATATTTACATTCTCATCTACACGTTAACAAGCTTACGTATCCATTTGCATATTTGAAAGTATGTATGTATGATGCATTTTATATTTATGTATTGCTTAATCATGCTTACATGATATTTTGCATGTTGCGTAGTGGTTTAATGCAATAATATATGATAAGAATGCATAATACATCTATGCATCGCCTGTTTGCTTGCATAATGCATTTGCATGATGATTCAACGCTTTCGTATAATGCATAAAGTATTTGCATGTCGGCATAACGTGCTACCATTACACAGTGCATTATACATGTTGCATAGTGTACTTAATGCATTTCGTATGTTGCAATATGTATATGCACAATGAATTTTGCATGTTAATGCAATGTGTCGCCAAAGCGTGGTATATTTTGTACTTTAAATGGCATATTTGTATAATGCGTCCTGCATATTACAGATATATGCATATTATGAATTGTGTCATTGCGCACTTTAATGCATGAGGAGGTGTTCTATCTAATATTTAAATATGGTTGATGATATAAGCGATGATTTTTTTAAAAAAATATGCAAATTTCTATTTAGAGGCCTCTGAATATCTTCTGTCCGCTTGTATTAATTTTGCGAATTTGATGGGTTATTTAGCAACGCGTTGAGTTTCATTTTTCATGCATAGGTGGTGCAGTTTAGCTCATTTCATCTTTTGTATGATGTCATGTTTTTTAGTGTTCAGCCCGCAAGAGTGTACTGTTGGCAGACGAGTTGTGCGGTGCACCGGTAGCCTTCTACTTGTCGCTTGCAAGTAAGCTGATTTATTTGGTGTGATAGTCTGCCGCCGCAAATTTACTGTCTCATTTTATCAGTTGTTCGTAGTTTTTACTATAAATTCCATGTTTCTGCTTACAGGTGAATCTTATCGTTGTGTTATAAGTTATTTATTGCTTCATGCAAATAGGTCATCACGCAATGTGAGCTCTATTAACAATATTCGTGCTCCAACATTAGGTATTATGGAGCCACCAGTTGTTGCGTGTAGATGGGTCGTAACATTGCGCTGCGAGCCATTTGTTGCTTCTGCAGGCAAACTATTGTGCATTGCAAGCTTTGTTGGATTTGTTCGTAGGTAGTGTGTCATAGGCAACCAGTCAAAAGTCATCCGCTATTGCATGGAGTTGATTGCATTCAACGTATATTTTACTTGTAAGCTGGACTACTGTGTATATTTCAAACTTACGCTCCCTACTTGTGGGAAAGTCGTATTCGCCATGAATTTGATGCTTTGATTTGTGTGCAAACTTTTGTATGCATGATGAATCATCTATTGTTATTTGCAAGCATTGACACAGGTCATTTGCCGCTTCCTGCAGGCAGGCTGCCATGTGCAACGCAAGTTCTCCAATGCTGCTTGTAGGTTCTTGAACTTGTCACATATTTCTTAACCTTGCTTATAGCATGTTGTGCGCATTCCTATATTTATAGAGAGCTCATCATGCTTATTCATCTCCATATTTTAGGGTGTCGGATGCCGATTTTGAACGTTTTCAGCCGATTTGACTGAGAGGGGCTTCTTTATAGATAAATTTAACACTGATCGCAATAGCGCAGTCTGTTCGGAGATCGGAGGTCGTTTGACCACTTAAGTGATGCGTCACGCCTGTTGACTGTCACTCGAGTCGCCAAATCCGCTTCTTTTCATGTGTTTATTAGTGTATGGATCAACATACAGGAAGGCCACAAAGAAGCCTCAAAAAATTTAGATTACTAGCGAAGAGAGAAAAATCTGGGAGCAAACACATAGGAACCATCAAATCACAATCCAAGTGGCACCATCAACCCATAGAATGAAGCAAAACAATAAAAAATATATATAAAAAGAACCACTCAACACAAAAATATATAAAAAAATAATACGAAGGATCTAATTTAACTCTAGCATTAGCCATTATATTATATTGCTCATAACTATTCCATTGTGACATAGTTGATTCATGGGTCAACATTCATTTCTTACCCTAGGTTTGATTTCCCTCGGCTTTGTAATTCTATGATGCCACAATAGATTCAGTGGACAAACAAATTATTAGTAAATATAGACAGGATTCAAGTCTTTTAGGTCCCTCCAAGTATATTCATTAGGATATAGTCTAATGAAATTACTAGGCATCCATAGATTCATGGAATTCTCTGAATTTGTTTTGCTTAATTTCATGGTGTCACAATTGATTCAGCACAGCAGCATTGATTTTTTGCCTAAGGATTGAATTCCCTTGACTTTGTGCCACAATAGATCTAATGGACCAACATTTTTGGCTAGTAAACTACTTAAGATTCAAGCCTCAAAGGCCCATCCTAGCATAGTCTCCTTTAGTCCTAGTCTAGCTTAATTATGGACACTCATAGTTCTACCATTTGGACTTTAACTGCAGTAAGTTCACAACTTTGCAGGTTCCACTCAACTTCATTTTTCATCAAAAATGATAATGGCTGGCTTTTTTTATGAGTAACGAATATCACATTGATCAAAAATTTTAACCAAAGGTCTAGAAATAATTGAAACATTTCTCAATTAGTTCAAGAGTTATAAGGAAATTACAGAAATCTCCAAGATCAAGTAGTAGAGACAGGCTAAGGCAATATGTATAATTTAAGCATGATTAGGAGTGCCATTAAGCCAAGTTCTAGCAAGTGAACCTTAACTCAAATTCAAAAAAATTATTTTCAAAAAATGCTCTATTTTACTCAGATATTTTAGTTAACTCGGCCCAAGTTTCATAATTAACATAGAAAAGAATATTTATATATACATAGAAACACGCACATATTTGTACGATTCTAGTTGAATCAAATTAATCTTGAATAAGCCCTACTCAAGTCGAAGTAAATTGATTTCAATTTTGAATTAATTAAAAAATAACTATTTACTAAGCAAGCCCCCAGTTTCGAACAGAATTATCAACAGTATGCATAGTAGCTATATGTAACAAGGATGCATCATAAAATATTATGGTTGTAAGTTCATAATTGCCTTAACTAGGCCAAAATAGCAGTAGATGAACTTAATGAAAAATGAATCATCTACATCCAAACAATTGGGATTGAATTTTATTTCTAACAAATAAAAAAAGGTAGATATAGAGATATTGATGATCTAGAAAATGTGAGTGTACCTCCGTCCCTGCAATTCCCATTGCAAGTCCAATATCCGCCTCATGAAGTGCAGGAGCATCATTTGTTCCATCACCAGTCACAGCAACAACCTCATTACATGAAGACCTCAGGTGGTTTACCAATGTATGTTTATCCATGGGTGAAGACCGAGCCATTACCTGATACCCAAACAAAATCAAACCTCAACAAAGACATTATTGACACACCAAAAGTCCAAAACATTCTTTATCATTCAAAGCCATCAAATGTAACCTGAAGATTGGGGATCAATTGCATCAACTCTTCTAAACTCTTCTCCCTGAACTTGGGACCTTCAATAGCTAGACCCCCATCAGTAAGAATACCGCATTCCCTAGCAATTGCTTTTGCAGTATTTATGTTATCTCCTGTGACCATTCTTACAAAAATACCAGCTGACTTGCATATCGCTACTGATTCCTTAACACCAGGTCGCACAGGATCCTTGATACCAACAATTCCAATACAGGTGTATCCCGACACCGGTATCTGCTTTGCCGCCATGAAATTATCTTCAATATCCATATAGGCAAGGCATAACGTTCGAAGAGCTTCACTGGCAAAGTTCTCAATTGTTTCTTTCAATTTATTTGCAGCTGCTTCATTCAGAGGAACAACATTACCTTTATGATCTATAAACTTGTCACAAGCAGCCAAAATTATTTCTGAGGCACCTTTACAATGTGCACGATATCCTCCTTCAGCCAACTGAAGTACCACACCCATTCTCTTCTTTGTGGAATTGAAAGGTTCAACTTTGATAAGCTTTGTTTGTTGACGTACCGCCGGGAAATTTCCACCCAATGACAAACCAAATTCCAACAAGGCAGTTTCAGTTGGAGAGCCTAAAATCTCAAGCTTTCCATTTTGGTTTATCACAACTTCACCACTGGTGTTATTGAATAAGGATTCGAGAATAGTTTTTACAGCAGAATCAGGAAAGAGGGACCTTATGCTAATATCCTTCTGGGAATTGTTCAATTCATGGATATTTTCACAGATGCAAACTTTCACAACTGTCATGTGATTAGTTGTCAGGGTTCCAGTTTTGTCACTACAAATTGATGTCGCCGAGCCCATTGTTTCACAGGCTGCAAGGTGGCGCACCAAAGCTTTATCATTCATCATTTTCTTCATGGCAAAAGCCAGGCTCAAGGTCACGGCTAAGGGCAATCCTTCTGGCACTGCAACTACTACTATTGTTACTGCAATAGCAAAATATTCTAACATCTCTAATGCATCATCACCTGACCAGCTAAAATATTGGCCATCCTGATATTTAATGGTCAAAAGGCGTTGAGAAAGAACAGCAAATGTCACCACTGCAAAGAATAAACCAATTTTTCCAATTATAGTTGCAACCCCATTCAGCTTGACCTGTAAAGGAGTTTCATCATCGCCGCCTTCACAAAGTGTAGCCATCAGCTTACCCCACTGGGTTCTCATGCCCACAGTTGTTATAAGCATTTTACAAGATCCATCCAGAACTTTAGTTCCAGATAGAAGGAAAGGATTGTCGCAATTAACAGCAACAGGTTCGCTCTCCCCAGTGAGACTAGATTCATCTATCAATACTGAGAAGCCAGATACAAAGAGGCCATCAGCAGGTACTTGATCACCAATTGCTAGATGAACAATATCACCAGGAAGAAGATCATATATAGAAATCTTCTTTCTATAGCCATTTCTTGTAACTTGAACAAAAATCTTCTTTTTCTCCTTATCTAAATCTTTGAATTGTAAAGACTGCCGATAATCGCTTGTTGCAGTCACAAAAACAACTAATAGGATGCTTGCAACAATCCCAAGACCATCATGAGCTCCTTTTGGCCATCCTTCCGTGGCAACACCGACAATGAGGGATATAACAGCACAGACGGCAAGAATCATAAGAGTGGTGTCTTGAAGTGCTTCCCATACAAATACCCAAAAGCTTCTGTGCTGTCTTTCAGTAAACTTATTTATACCAAAGACATCCTGCCTGCATTTCAGTCTATCTTCATCAGAGAAAAGTCCATTTTCTGTTGATGTAGAGAGCTTGGTTGCAATACCTTCTATACCACCATGCATGTTCAGTTTCTTCAAGTCATGGCCTTCAACAATGGACCCCAATTCATCAGCATCAATGCCAAAGCCAGCTGCCTTCGCCTCGTCGGAAACAATGTACTCACTGCGTGGTAGAATGCCGGAGGATGCTGCCACTAGCATCAAGTATCAAAACAAGTACAATACGTCAAAAGTCAGTTAAGATTCATGGAAGCTATTAAAAAATTCAAAATACCTTGAATGAACTGCAATGCAGCTTTTGAAACAAGAACAGCTATCCGTAGCTTCTCCTGTAAATGTGCATGCTAATGTCAATATACAACAGAAGACATTCAGAAGTTCTCTCTTACTATAATACATTTCTTGTAGATATTTTAAGATACACCTGTAACATGATTCATCCCACACAAAGTATCATGCAAGTCGTTACAAGATGAATTATGTCAGCTGATTGATACGTTTACCTGTCAGTAAGTTCTTAGAAAGGCGATTCCTGAAATATAATTCCTTGAGGGAGGGTAGCTCACAATTATCTGGCTCCTAGAGTTATAACTTCAAAATAAACTAGGAACTGTCTTAGCTCACACAGAACAAGCTGGAAAGCCGGCAAACCTCTGTAATGTTAGAGGGGAGTACTATGAGGTGTTCCAATCGGTTCTGTAGAAAGAAGAGTAAATTCAGTGACTACTCATATGCTGGGAAAGTTGTTAAGGCCATTACATTAGTCAGATATGGATATTAAACAATTCAGGTTTTGTACTCTTTAGTTTATGTTTATATTAGGCAGAGAATTGGATATGTATTATAATGCTAAACTTATGGCTTCCACCTATTTCAGGTATATGGTCTGCCATTTCTGCATTGTCTCAATTTTGGTTTGGTCGGTCGCCACTCCTTGGGATACCACATGTCTTAAGTACTCCATACTAGACTGGGCAAAGTTGCATTTCTTCATGTTGGCTCTCAATTGATGCTCCTGAAGCATTCCCAAAACCACGTTCAAGTGTCCAAGATGCTCCTCCACTGTATTGCTGTACACCATAATGTCATCAAAAAATACCAAGACGAACTTCCTAAGGTACAACTTGAATACCCTGTTCATCAAAGACTGAAAAGTAGCAGGGACATTGGTAAGGCCAAATGGCATTACCAGAAACTCATAATGCCCTTCATGTGTCCTGAATGCTGTCTTCGGAATGTTTGTCTCCCTCATTCTAATCTAATGGTACCCAGATTTCAAGTCTAACTTGGAAAACATCACCGCCCCATATAACTCGTCCAAGAGCTCATCAATCACCGGAATAAAAAATTTATATGGTACACTCCCCTTATTCAAAGCTCTGCAGTCCACACAGAATCGCCAACTCCCATCTTTCTTTTTGACCAAAAGGACGGGACTAAAGAAATAACTCACACTCGGTCTGATGATCTCTGCCTCCGGCATCTCCCGGATCAACCTTTCAATCTCATCTTTCTGTATGTGAGAGTAACGATGGGGTCAGACACTGATCGATGTCTCTCATTCTCTCAAAGTAATGGCATGCTCCAACTCCCTTTGTGGTGGTAGACCCTATGGAGGTTAGAAACCTTGCTGAATTGTTGTATGAATGGATGTACTGAAGAGGGGATGTTTCCCTCTTCCTCCAATTTGACCCCCTCCAGGCGATGCAACTCAACCAAGTATCCTCCTCCCAATTCCTCTATGGTTCTGATCAAAGACTTGAGAGATACCCTAGTCTTAGTTAGCCCTGCATCACCCTGAATAACCATCTTCTTTCCCTTATCCACCAGTTTCATCCTCAATGTCCCCCAATTCACCTTGGTATCTCCCAAGGACTGTAGTCATTTCATCCCCAGGATAATATCAGTGCTTCCCAGTTCCAAGGGAAGAAAGTCCTCCCTTACCTTGATCCCCTGAATCATCAACACCACTCTCTTACAAACTCCCCTATCCATCTCTACCTTTCATGTGCCCATCATCAACCCATAGCCTCTTGTATCCACTAATTTCATCGCAAGCCGATCAACAATCTGGGTGGAAATGAAATTGTGGATTGTCCCATTATCTATTAATACCACTACCTCTCTATCCGCTATCTCTCCCTTCACTTTCATAGTGTGAATAGAAGTGAATCCCACTACAGGGTTCAGGGATACTTCGGCCACATCCAGATGCAACTTTTCCTCCTCCAATTCTAGCCCGCTTCCACCTCCCTCTTCAGCTTCCTCGTCATCACAAACTGTGAGAACCTAAAGAGTTCGATCCTTGTACCTATGCCCCGGCATGTACTTCTCATCACACCTGAAACACAACCCCTTTGTCCTATTCTCACGTATCTCTTTCTCAATCAGTTTCTAGAAATTTCCCCCTCCTCCGGCTCTCTCCCTGGGCACCTCCTTCATGCTCCCTGACGCTGGTCCCCTGGGAGGTAAAAAGGTGGTGGTCATCCTATACAACCCTCCTGAGTTGCTTCCCCTAGCCACTCTCTCCATCCTCCTTTGTTCTTCCACCATCTATGCCAACTCCATGGCTTTCCCTAGGTTCCTTGGCTCCAAAACTTTAACTGCTGCCCATATCTCTGGTTTGAGCCATTTCATAAAGTTTCCCTCTAGTGTCGTCTCTGAGATATGATCCAATCTGCTGGCCAAATACTCAAATCTGTCTTGGTAGTCAGCTACGGTCCCCTCCTGAGTCAAGGCAAAGAATTGCTCATATAAGTATTCTCATCCTCGGTTCGGAAACGTTCTAGTAAACATTCTTTGAACTCTTTCCAATTTCAGATGGGCTCCCTCCTTTCACGCCATTGATACCATGCAAGTGTCTTTCCTTCCAAACACAATTCTGCCACCGTCAGTTTCTCCTCCTTCGTCAACCCATTGACGGCGAAGTATCGTTCCACTTTATAGATCCAACCATGGTCGTCCTCACCCTCAAAGACGGACTTTTTTAGTTTTCTCGCCCTTGGATCACCCCCATTCCCCCGGAATCCTCCATAACCTCCCATTCCCCGAAAGGGAGGTGCTCTCCAATATTCACGATCCTCTCTCCTACGATTATGCCCAAACCTTTCATCGTACTCCCCCTCCTTCCTCCAAAATCAGCACCCTGACGGTAGAATTTTTCCCTTCTTATAAGAAAATCAGCACCCCTCCTTTCATATCCCATACTCATCTCTTCTCTAGAAAGCGGTTCTAACCGAGGCATTCCATCCTCTCCCTCGAGAACCTCCACTTCCGAATTTTCCCTCCCCCTAAATGGGTTCGGAATACCTAACCTTGGATGCCAGTGGTCTCCTTCGATTCCGATGTTGCCGGTTTTTGTTTGTCTTCAAGCATCTTCTTCATCAAATCTTTCAAAGTCGCGAACCTCCAATCTATCTTTTCATTAACAACCACAAATTAACTTTGAAAATCTGAAACTTTCTCCTCAAAACAAGTCTTCAATTGACCTATTTCTCTCTCCAAGACTTCAACTTTCCGTCCAGCCATAATTCCTTCGATGAGGCACCAAAAAATTCTTGCGTGTGCACAAAAACTGCTGAAATTATAAAATTTCAGCCTCTGATGGTCCCAAGACAAAGCAGATCGTATGGTTACCTGCATGTGGCACCTCCCAAGATCTTATGATTAAGTATTGTCTACAGTGGAGCACTTTATACCTCAAATTATGGTAGACCATGCTATGCAAAGATTCAAGCATTCGGAAATGCTATCGTACAATTTTATGAGACTAATGACAGCTTTATTTCATAAAGCACAACAAAATAGAAGAATGCCAAATGAAATGAAGTTTTCCCTCAACCAATGGCTAATCTTTTGAATTTGAGCAATGCTTAATTTTTTTTTTTAAAAGGATAGAAATCTATCCATATTTTTATTAGGCAGGCAGGCTCAAGGCCATTACAGATATAAGGTGAGCACAAGATCAATTACAAATATTAGGTGGGCACAAAGTCAATTACAAATATAAAGTGGGTAAATCCAATTGGGATCTTAATGTGCTATTGTATTGCACCGATACACCTATTTATGAAGGCGTGTTGTATCTGATACACCGATACACGAATATGCCTCCAATACGGCACCGATACATGTCAGATACGGCAAAGCCGTATCCAATTAAAATACTATTAAATTTCAAAAGGACACTCGTATCCGATATGCGTGTCCGTTGAAAAATAAAAAAAGACGCGTCGTATTTACTTCCGCGACTGCGAGTGAGGTTCTCTCATTTACGGGATTAATTTGAGTCTCTTGATGATATGGGAATATTAGAAATTGCAAATCTTTCACTTGATGAGCCTGAATTAGAAGCCATGATATTTATTGAAGATGATATAGAAGTTCAAAGGCAAACCACTGAAGAAGCTAATCATATCATTCCTTATATTGAATAGTTGAAACTTCATGTGCTAGACAATTTATGTTTATGCTTTTGTTGTTGTACTAGACATTTAATGCTTACTTTTATTTTGATATTATAAGCTACAAGGCTACAAATTATGTTGTTTTCATTTTTTTGTAATTTCAAATATTATGCTTTGATTGATTTCTTAATTTTTATGTACGATTTATAAATTATAATGTCGTGTCCGCGCCGTACCCGTATCCTATATTTTAAAGAATTGGCATGCCCCGTATCCGTATCGTGTCATATCTGTATCACCATATCCGTATCGGTGCAACATAGATCATAATTATATTTCTTGAAATTGATTCTTGAGACCTCTATTGTTAAAAATCAAGGAATATACCACTTGAACCAAGGCTATTTGGTGAGCGGTGTTTATGCCTTGCATATTTAACCCAATTTATGCCCTGCTAATCCATACCCACAACAGAAGGCAACAATAAATGCAACAAGATAAATATGAAAAAGAAAATGACTGCTAGGAAGATGCTGAATATTCCCAAAATATTTTGGAATAACACCTTCTATATATAAATAGCCCCTCTTTTATATTAGTTCAAATGAAATTGAGAAAATGGATATCGATGTTCTTGAAGACATTCTAATCATAGCATATTAGTCCACTATTGTTGGATTACAATGACATAGATCTTTCTTTTTAAAAATCCAACTTATGAAGGGATTTCAAATATACAAATAAACAAACAGAACATTCTTAATAGAAAACAAGTGCATTGATGGTGTAGAATATCAAGTTAGGAAACTAAGCTTACAAATTGATATGACCACCGTTGTGGATTGATCATTTTCAAAGACTATAACTTGAGAAGAAGGATGGAAGCTTTAAATCGCAGAACAATAAATCCATCTACGATGATGATATAAATCAAAACTTATAGGCCCTAATGTAATATAAATCAACCCCCTTGAAACATCTGTTCAGATCGAGCAAATTAAATAGGAAACCAAACTAAATACCCATTTCACTTTCACTTTAAAAAAAAATTATGACTAAGAATATCATGATAAATCCAATAAAACATCAAATTGGAGATGAATATATATAGAAAAAAAAGACTCAACTCATGAATGGCACCTTGTCAAGTGAGTAAAGAAGACAAATACCTGATTAGTTTTCTTCATGGCCTCGGCCTCGGACCTCTTGGAGAGATTAGCAGTGAAACGGAAGCGCCGTTTGGGGTTCTTCACCAAAACACAAAGCTTCCGCCATCGCCGCAAAGCTTCCTCCGAAGAATTCTTCGGCTTAACCCCGCTAAAGTTCTCGTTCAGATAGCTCTCCATTTTCCCCGTCCCACTTCAAAGCTCCTACCTTTCTTCTCCTACTCTTCTCGAAATGCTAACCAAAGAAGCACAGACGGCGTTGATTCGCTTCAAGATCGTACCTTGAACGAGGGCAGACAGGAAAGAAATTGGATCGAGAAAGTCGAAGATGAAGAAAAACCAAACAAAGCTTCTTTTTTGGTTATAGTAGAATCGAGAAGCGGGAGTCAACGTAAGGAGGGACCAACAAGACGACGAGAAGGAACAGATCCGATGGCAACCAGTGCAAAAATAAATACATAGGGAACTTGTGCAAGAAAAGCCCAAAAAATCACGGCAATGCGAATTGCAAAATAAATTGCAGAGATATTTTTTTGTCACGATCTTAATGTGCTCATAAAGAATTTTCTTATAAATAAATGAATAAATCGATCATGAGATAAAATTTACGAAAAAAAACAACTTTTATAATATCTTCTCTGGCATTTTGTAATACAAAATATATTGAGGCTTGAGTAAATAGGCTCATGGCCTGACTTACATTTGGCTTGATAAATGATTTATAAGTACTCCATAAGCTAATGAGTCAAATTTGAGCTAGCTCGGACTTGACTCATTAGCTCGCAAGCCAGCTCATTTAAAAAATATTAATATAAATATATACTTAATATATATTAGAATTCATGATTTTAAACACAAAATTATTAAAAATATTAAAAAATAATATCTCACTTTTTTATTAAGTTTTTTTTACTATAATTTATCATTTTTTTCACCATTTTATCAGAATAATTAATTAAATTAGATTAATTTTCTCTTTTTCGTAATATCGATTTATAGATTTTGAGAGTGGCGTAACCTGTAAATATGATGGATATCTGAAGCAAATTAAGAGTGTTTCATCGGACGGCTCATACTAATTACATCGATCATTGAGCATTTATCAAGCATTTAAGTATCTTAATGATGCAAGAATTAAGGGTTCTTTGATTCGTTGGATTCGTCTCATCAAGCCGCTCGATTCGACTATAAACATATCATAGTTAGAGATTATTTGGTCATCTAATTAATGCTTTGAACTTTTCAAATATGCTTCAGTCTCTTGATTTGGACCCATTTGAACTTTTCAAAGTACACCATGACGTTAGTATGTCGTTTGCCAGTATGATCTGAGTTTATTGTTTTTACTGTTGAAGATGATGATGTTTGTGATATGGTGCTCTCTCTTGCTTGCAATCAAATTCTTACACTTTATGTCGATGTTATAGAGCTACATGATTCTAGTAATTTTGAGCAAAATTTGATATCCCAATTTGTTCATTCATACTATTCAGAGGATCATGAATTCGATGGTTCTTTATGTTCAGTTGTTCAGTCTTCGAGGTACCAAATAGTGTTTCAAAGGAAGGAGTATGACCTTTGAGTCGGCAACCTGAAAGTTTGGAAGAATGTTATGAAACAATGAGTAGTGGATCTAGCGAGAATGTATCAGACAATGAAGATGATAAATTGATACCTAATTATATGAGAGGCAAATGTAGAAGTAAATGGTGATATATATGAGGTCGTTCAAAGTTATTGTTATAGAACAGTTGACACTGAAGAAGGTGTGGTTGTGAAGAATGATTTCATGCGTACATGTAGAATCACCCGTGAATGGGATAAAGAAATAACTTTTGACCTTTGGGGAATCAGGAGAGCAAATGGAAGAGGAATTTTGAATTCCAAATTAGTTGGTAGGGGCATGTGTTTCAATAAGAAAGCAAACCTAAAATTTGTATTGCAAGGATGGTCTATCAATAACATGGAGTATGTTGTGTTTGCCTCAAAAGGCAGAAGCTTCCAGTTGTATGTGCTCAGCAGGGAGCATCAGGAACTTGTTGCTTATGGTTTTTGCATGCTGGGCTTAGAAAATATTTGTATAAAAAATCTCATTTGTGAAGCATCAGTATACATGCACGAGTCCAATCCTTGCTGCTGGTCACCGTCATGAGTTATGTTTGAGTTGGACAACATTTGAAGTTATATTCAAACTCTTGTTGAATATACTATCAATCTCCTCCATTCAAAAAATCCTTCTTCTTTTTTTTTTACACATCTCTCATCAGCTTCTTGTAGGAGTCTAAAAGTCATTCATTATGTACATGATACCATTTATGATACAGAATATAGTGATCTATATCAACCAATAACCTTTCAATAATCACCTCAATTGAACCTTCTTTATCAGGTTTAATTTCATGAATTCGTCTCTTTAGTATGTCTAGCAAAACCAAACGTCCATCTTGTTCTATGAACCTCTACTACAAATATCTCCAACCCATGTCTCTATGATCATCGTCAGCCCAATATAAGTTTATTTTCATAATTTTATCATGTGTATGTCACAATAAGCAATCTTCATCTTTACTCTAAGAATATATAACACAACGAAATATTTCATTACTTTTTGCCTTTGCTTCAAGGCTCTCATCAGTACATAGCGTCAAACTTTCTTTCAATTGATTGCTTCCCTCATAAATCTTTTACTTCTTGGGGATGCTTCAAATCTTATCTATAGCTGACATATTTATTGCTAAGTTATTGATAAGAAGTTGCACAACTCTTGCAAAAAAACTTTTAAGACTAGAAGATGCAGCTTCTACTCATCCAAGGAAGCTCTCCATCAACAACTTATATAGCCTCATAATCACATGTAAATGATATAAAATATATAATATAAATCATTTAATCATATTAAATGCTATTGACTATATAACAAGTCAACACAAACGTCTATACCTGATTTGATAATACATATTGATTTTATAAGATAACTATAGCTCAATGAAAGTGACCACTCACTACAACTTTATGGCTCCATCAATACCTAAGCTGCCACCTGTACTAAGCACCTATAAAATATATCTCGTAAATATAACATTAATTGATTAATGTCTCTTAAAAAAAAATTAATTCATATAAGTCACCCATTTGACGAGCGACTTATCTTTAATCACCAGTCACCCGTCAAATGGGCAACTTTGACGAGTTTTAAAACTTTAAAATATGTTGTTTAATTACACAATTATATATTAAACTGCCCTTAGTTAAAAACTACCCCTTTGTTATTATGTTGTCTAGTTAGCCTTCAATTCTTCCTTACGTACTCTCTTTGGCCGCTTGTGGCTCTGAAAACTTGTGTTAGGCTTTGGTGGATAATTTCACCATTAACTTAGGGGTTCATTTGGCTACCCTCTCTGATTTGCCATTATGATTTATGACTAGATAGCTATTATGAGTCAAGTAGTTATTAACTTTAAAAAAAAAAACATGATTATCAAAATAAATATTTCTATCAATAGAGAGAGTTCTTATTTCAGATTTGTATGAAAATTTAGCACAAATACAAGTAAAAGAGAAGAATACAACATACACTAATTTTTATGTGAAAATTGTGAGAGGGAAAAAAACCAACTGGCTTAACCCTAAAATAACTTACTAAATATTTGAAATTATAGAAATTTGCTCTTATCTACAATCGGATAAGGAAGGACTATAAATTTTGATAAGATTTCAAATGCTCTTGTCATCAATTTTGCATTAACATGAAGAAAGAATGAAGAGTTTCTTGTTATTTTACTGCTATTAGTTATACTTCTGAGACAACATTGCTTCACCTGCATAAATGATTATTTTATTACTAATGTACTTAGCCTGCCAATAGTATGTCCATGCAAGTTTGAGGCATATTGATTATGTTTATACTTTGAAAATTTTATAATTTGATTCCACTGTATTGCCCTAATTTTAAACTGTCTGGCAATTTTTAGAAACAATACAAGTTGGATTTCTTATTTTCAAAATAGAGAAAATAAGTCCTTGTGGTTTGGTCTAGTCAAGAGACTGTAATACCCTTTCAAACAAATCTTTTCATACTCACGTATTACAGCTTGTTGGTTGACACGAATTCGTTCCTCCTCGCGAGCCCGAATTCGAAGCACCTTGACTTCCACATGGAGCATTCCCACTAGGATTACACCTCCCTAGTATTTGTATATGAGTGCGCTAAGATGCTCTAAACTAACCATGAATTATTTTCGTTAGTATGATTTTTTATTGGCTTATCAATAAAGTGCTTTTTGAAACTAACTTGATTATTTTCAATTGTTTTACTATAAGGCATCATGATTTTTAAATTAACTAATCAATAATGTAACTTTTTTATAGTGTAAATTTCATAAAAAGCATCATTTTGATGATAAAAATCACATAAAAAGGATTCAATTCAAGCATGTACACAAGCCAAGCTCAAGAGCTGATTTTTCGAGCTAGAACTACTGAGCCGAATTCGAGCTTGGGATTCAAATACACGAGTCGAACTCGAGCTGGACTTCGAGCCACCTGCATAATTAGCGAATCAGGCTCAAACTACATCTAGCTCGAGCTCAACTCGACTAATTTACACCCCTACCTAACTGTGCCATTCAAAATTTCCATGTCAGCTTCTTTTAATATCTGTGCAATTTCTGGGTTTTTCTCTCGTTAACAAAAACAAGTCTAAGAAATTTTGAACAAACATATAATAAATCAGACGCTGATAAATTTCAGAAACCTCAAGCATGAATGCGCAATGCAAATGGAATAATATAGCCTAATTAAATTTGAATAAACATATAACTGAATATTTGCATAAAGAAAAAGTAAAACAAGGATGTCCAACAAATCAAAAATAGCTATTCTAAACAATTGACGGCATTCCAATTATAATAAAGGATTTTATCGAACAAAAATTTAGGGAAAATCTATCGAACAATTGTTGGCACCAAAATAACCGTCTTCGAGCTAAAAAAGTTATTATTGGGTTACCTTTAACTTAATATTAGGTTAAAAATATATCAATAAATTATGGATCACAAGATCAAGTAGCAGATATGTACATAGTGAAAATGTTTCATATAGCTTATGAGTTTTTCTTGCACTTAGTGAAGAAAGCTTCAATTGGGATATGCTTGACCTCATTTGGCGGGCACTTTTGCTTTTTCCTTTTGCCTTCTCTATTATGCCCCACCTTCTGCACAAACCTAGGAAGTACATTCAACATGGTTAGCAGATGAACCAAAGAATGTCAAGATAAAACACTTAAGCTTTGTTTGGAACGGTTATCTTCCTGCTTCTTAAAACAACTTTCTAGCACAAAAATTTTAAATTTTTTGTACTAAAAAGCTGCTTTAGTAAGCAGTAAAAAAGCTGTCTCAAACAAAACCTTAATTGCTTATTTACATGACAGCACAAATCTGGATCCAACATAAATAACAGACGCAAAAAGGTATAACTGATTAATTTCATTTTTCCTGCATTTCTTGCATCTTATAAATATAATGCGCTCACAAATTATGCAACTCTAGCCATACAAAAAGCACTAGTACTTTAAGAAGCAGAAAGAAAGCCGTAACAAACGAAGCATTTGTTACCCCGTGAAAACAGTTCTAATATCTCAACGCTAAAGAAAGGCACATTTCGTACCTCTCTTGTGCAAGATGGCCTCTGCCACGCGAAGATTCCTCCTTCTGGAGCATCTCCGCTAAGTGATAATCAGAATGTTCTCGCCTCTCTTCAATAAAACTTGGTGGCAACTCTATACCACAAACTGAACAAATATAGTCATCCACCCATATCAAACCCACTTCCTCGATTAGTCTCTCAACTGAACAAGTTAATTCATCTGGTTGCACTGATTTGTTTGGTTTGGACTGGATTGAACAATAAAAAGAAGGGAAATCAGTCGAGATATTAGCAAACCACAAAGATGAGATTATATGAATCGTGGGCGTGAATTACTGATTTATGAACTAAAGAATCTCTGTAACCATGTTCTTATGAGGTGCAAAAATTAAGGTAAATGCCAAACTTGCATCAAGTTCTCAAGTAAGATCATCTGAAGTTGAGACAATTGACGCTATGATTCACAAATGCATAAAGAAAAACAGTTCGTCTGTGATGGGTTAAAAAGAATGTAATTATATGAAAAGTAGAGTTAAAGCTAGGGGTGTAAACAAATTGTGTCGAGCATGAGTCATCCTTTGCATAAGCTTGATTAATTAATCAAGTTTGAGCTCGAGCTCGAGTTTAATTGTGCGAATTTGAGTCTGCTCACAAGTTGGTTATTTTATTATGAGAGCTATGTTGCACCGATACACCTATTTATGAACACGTGCTATATTCGATACACCGATACACGGATACGCTTCCGGTACGGCACCAATACGTGTCGAATACGCTTTTCCATATCCAATTAAAATACTATTTAATTTCAAAAGAACACGCGTATCAGATACGCACCGTTGCGCATCCGATACGCGTGTCCGTTGAAAAACAAAAAAAAATCCAAAAAAAAAAAAAGACTGGTGGTATTTACTTCCGTGACTGCGAGCGAGGTTATCTCATTTCCGAGATGGATTTGATTCTCTTGATGATATGGGAATATTAGAAATTGCTAATCTTTCACTTGATGAGCCTAAATTAGAAGCTATGATATTTATTGAAGATGATATAGAAGTTCAAAGACAAACCACTGAAGAAGCTAATCATATCATTCCTTCTATTGAATAGTTGAAACTTCATGTGCTAGACAATTTATGTTTATGCTTTTGTTGTTGTACTAGACATTTAATGCTTACTTATATTTTGATATTATAAGCTACAAGGCTACAAATGATGTTACTTTCTTCTTCTTTTTTTTTTTGTAATTTCAAATATTATGCTTTGATTGCTTTCTTAATTTTTATATATGATTTATAAATTATAATGTCGTGTCCGCGCCGTACCCGTATCCTATATTTTTAAGAATTGACGCGTCCCATATTTGTATCGTGTCGTATCCATATCTGTGCAACATAGTATGAGAAAGAAAATGATTGAGATTCAAACAATTACTATAATGAAATGATAAAATGAATGAGAAATTAAAAGAAAAATAATTAAAAATCACTTTGTGTAAGAAGGTCAAATATAATTTTTAAATATTTTTAATAACTTTTTACTTAAAAAAAAATCCTAGTATATCTTAAATATATTTTATATTAATATTTTTTAAACGAGCCGTCTTATAAGCTGAGAGGTTGAAATAAGTAAGAGCACTGAATATTATCTGATAAAAAATATCACAAAGAACTAAAGATGTGTTTGGCAACGAAGACTAAAGAGGTGCTGTGTTTTTATGAACCAGAACATTAGGCAACAAAGAAATTAGTAACTGAGGCCTGAGAATTATAAGATTTATGTGTGGCAAAACTAAGAAAGCATGCAGGTGTTAGGAGTAGCTCTTAACAATGGTAATGCGATAAAAAATACACTTAGATAATTGAACATAAACAATGGAAAAAAAAAAGGTCAAAACAAGGATAGATCTAAGATAACATCACTAGAGGTTGTGAAAGAAAGCTAATATAAACTTAAGTTAAAACCATAAGTTGCACTCAAGGAACTGAATGTAAGAGAAAGATCCATAAAGAGTACTCAAAATAGTTCGGATAGCGTGGCTGTTGTACGTGATGATGACAATAATATACCAAAGAAAAGCTACAGTAAAGAAAATTGCAAGACTTTTAGACCAACTGTAACATTTGTTAACAGGTAATGCTCCCAAGCCATCAGAAAACGCAAAAACCACCTTCACCCATTATGTAAGAGAATAAAAGAATGATAACAAAAGATTCAATGCCGAAGACTGGCAAGCCTCTAGTATCGTATACTCGCATTAATATCAGCTTATTACTCAAATCTTTCAGAAACTCTATTTTCCATGCAAGCCACGATAGAATAAACAAATAATAAATAAGAAACGATGATTTTAATAAAACAAGAGATGGATTTTAAAGTTAGGCAAACACACCTCGTCCAAATACGAATCATTCATTTTGAAATTCTCTGCAATGCTGCTAGAAACGGAACAATGAGAATCACATAAAAGCGAAAATCTATCATCATTTTTATCATCAGTGTGATCATCAGCAACTCGAAAATCAAGTTCCACATCTTGCTTGGATTGCCCCTCGCTAAAATCTAAACCATCGTGATCCTCAAGCTTATCACCAACTTCTAAACAAACTTGTTTCTTGGGCGGCGTAGGAGTTGAATTTGCATCCCCACCAGACAAAAAAGCAACAATACTTTTCTGCATAGGATCCACATGACTGTTTTTGTCATCACTGAACTGTGACATGCGCAGACCTGTCAAGATAGTTTTATCTTAACGTTATTTTGAGTTATCACAAGAAGCAATGTTTAAAATTGTGTAATCGGGTATTGAGGCGTTTTTCATTCGTGAGACAAGGCGTAAGCCTCAAAATCAAAAAATTGTATAACCATAAAATGATAAATTTTATATATACTAAGGAGTAAATAATATATAAAACATAAAATGCACAAGATATGAAGTGAAATCAAAATATCTCAATAATAAGACAACATGAAATATAGTTCAACTCAAACTCCATCTTTCCCAAATCACAGTATCCTTTTCATTAACATATAATTCCAAAAATAAATAGCAATGACATATCACATAAGAACTCATAAATTATCAGCTTTGTCATCACTAAGGGAGTCTTCATTTGAATCATCAGTATAATGAACTGCTCTCTCCCCTTCCTACTCTCCTATAGAGTCCAATGTCTCCCAATTAGGTCCATCCTCAATATCAGTTATCTTCCTCTTCCCTAAATATTTTTGAACAATCTCAAAATAAATAAGTGTAATACATTAATAAAAGTCTAAGAAAACTTTATTATTTATATACTTTTTTTGATTTGTTCTTGAGTTGTGATGGAGGTAGATGATTTAAGACCATCAAAGAAATCGTTTGGCAATTGTATCCTTGCTTGTTGTAATCTAAAAAAACATTCTTTGTACCTAAAAGGTACCAATTGCATGTCAGCATTTGATCTTTCAGTTGCATCACTTATTAGCTGATCCATGCAATGATATAATCACAAGTTTATTTCAGGGTTTGTAGACTTATTTTCTACATATTGATACTAAGGGTTTAGGTAATAACCAGCTGCATGCAAGTGCCGGTGAAGTTGTAGCTCTCATCTATCATCAATAATATTCCAAATTTCCCTAAAGCTACTCTCTTCGTCTCCTAAGGTGGAGGCAATCATTTCTTTGGCGTCATCTATGACATTGTAGATGAAACCCATTGCAGACTTCTTCTCAACATCCACCATCTTTAAGACTTGAACTAAAGGTCTAGTGGTTATAATGGCATATAAGATACTTTGCCAAAATCTATCATTTAAAACAATCTTTATAATCTCTTTTTCCTCAGCCTTCTTCGCCTAAGCCCAACTCAACCACTGTGTAGATGTGAACATAGCCTCTAAAAGTTGTCTAGAATCCAACATGCTCTCTAAGGTCAAGTAAGCGGTGGCAAATCTTGTTACTGCTGGCCTAAAAATTTCTTTCTTTAAAAATTTTCTCATAAGAGCTAGAACCCAAGAGTGGTTGTAAATAAACTTTTTTTTTTTTGCTTTAGTAAGTGCATTCTTATGTTGAGATAGCTCGTCAAGCTTCTCAAGAATCAGATCCATACAATGTGCAGCACATGGAGTCCAGTACAGATGTTTCCTCTTCTCCATAAGTTTGTTACCTGTAGCCTTGTAAGCACTTGCATTATCTATCACAACTTGTACAACCAAATGTTCTCCAACCTCCTCAACAATACTATAAAATATGAACTCAACATCTTTGACCTGGTCAGATGCTTCAACTGATCTTAAAAACACAGTACCATAAGGATTATTAATGAGAATGTTAATTAGACTTCTATGTTTAATATCAGACCACCCATCTGAAATAATTGTTACTCTTGTTTGGGTCCAAGTCCTCTTAATTTCTTCGATGCTTTTACCAGTGCTTTCCAACCCCTTCAGAATCTATGTTCTCAAATCATACATTGTTGGAGGTTTGAACCCTCTCCCAAATGCTCCAACTGAACGAATCATGTTGTATTAGGAAGGTGATGTTGCAACATTAAATGGAATTGCATTTTCATAGAAGAATTGGCCTATATCCTTACACACTCTTCTTCGTGCCTCCCTTGCATTTTCTAGGGCCATCTTCTATGTAGTAGAAGGCATATCCTCTGATGTGTCCACCATATAATGATCCATAGGCCGTCTAGCACCCCTAGATGAAAAGGGCTTCATCGAAGAAGATGAATCCCTAACGCTGCGCTCACTCCCGTAGTAAGAGCCAACATTAACTCTATCCTCAAATTGCTTCTGTGCAAGATGTTTTGACGTGGTAGACTTATTCATGTATGACTTTATCTCTTCCATTACAGTATCAGGAACTTGGAGCATAGAACAACATTCTTGTGAGACCCTGAAAGGTGATCTTTCATCCTAGTCACACCACCCTTCACAACTTTATCACAGTAATTGCATTTTAGATAGATATATGTTTTATCACTTCCCCCTACATCCATCTGAGTGCTATGTTTCCATGATCGATCTTTTCTATGACATGACGCAACTTTATCCTTACTTCTGACCATCCTTTATGAGAAGAATATATTAGTGCAATATATTAAACCCCTAAACATAATGCTTCACTTATTCTATATTAAGAAAAATTATACAAGCATGCACTCATGAAGAAGCAGACTAACTCTAACAATAACTACTAAAGATGATGAATACAACAATATACCGGTCTGTCGGGGGTCCAAAGGGGCGCTACCCCTTAGCGAGGTTCGACATAGCTTTTAAAGTTCGTAAGTTATTTGTATGGAAAGATACCGCTCGTTACCGAGCATGTACCGCTAGTTACCGAGCATGTACCGCTCGGCACTGAGCATGTACTCAGCGGTACCGAGCATGTACCTGCTTGGTACCGAGTTGTACCGAGCAGTACCGAGCATGTACCTAGTGGTACCAAACATTGTCGTACCGAGTGGTACTAAGTATATATCTAGCGGTCTTAATGTAGAAGGAAGCGGACGCCGAACGAAGAGAGAAAAAGGTCGCAGTTGAAGATAACTCCAACCCATCTCGCGGTAGAAGACAACTCCAAGCAATAAGCGAAGAGCGACTCAATGTGGAAGGGCGCCGACGCCGAACGAAGAGGGAAAAAGGTCGCTCGAAGAAGAAGGGAGAAAACCTGTTTTCAAGAAATGACGGAAGGCCGCGCGGGGGTTGGGGGTCCTAACCGAACAAATATATATTATGTTAGTTTTTTTTTTTAGAGGGGAACGCCTCTCAACCGTGAGGTGCGCCTCAGTAAACTTGAGGCGTACGCCTCAAATCCTGAACTCATTGCGTAGGCTTTGAGGCATAAAGGGACGAAATTGCGCTAAGGCGCGTCTCTTATTGCGCAATTTTAAACCATGACAAGTACAGAAGAACATAAGGAAAGGTGCAAAATTTTATTTAACATAACGTTCTAGTGGCTAATATGGTACAAGCATACCACGCAATAAACTGAAACAAATTATGGAACTGAACTACATTACTATGAGCAAGTTGAACCACACTCAAATATTTCTCTAAGTACTAAATTTGAAAAGCATGTAGGATGGAAAAAAGTATGTGATTTGAAGCTATATGCTTAAAGTAATTTCAGAAATAAACTAGATAGAACAATTATTTTTGTTGTTTTAGAGCATGTAAACCTCATGAATGCATTCTCTAATGCTAGTCCTATCGATGCCTTCTCCATTGCCGAGCTTGTTGATACCTTAGCGATCTCCTGCCATGACTTCCTTGACAACAACCATTGGCCTTGTCATTACCTTCTCAAGCGAACATCCACCGAGACTTCTCTATTCGCCTGGTACTTGTCTAATCGATGCTTGCCCCAACTAATTCTAGAGGAAACTTCCCCCAACGTTGTCGCTGACTTTTCCAACGAGCCTTTATCAATTCCATCTCCAGCAAGCTAACATCCTTCTCCAACAAGTTTTCATCGCAATGTTTGATCGAGCTTAAGAGCCAAAGTCGAGCTCAAGATTAAGCAGGTGAATTGAGCTCATGTTAGCCCTAATTCCATTATATTGTAGGAGTTAGTTTGATTTGAAGAGTTTTGTGTGTATTATAACTATAACGTAAAGTTTTGAAAATTTGTATTTGGCTGGCTTACAAGTAATTTCAAAGTTTTTTTTATGAATTTCAATCTCATCCTTAATTTAATTTTTATATATTATAAAATCGTCCAACTCAACCAATTTTGAAATACACCCCAATGTTCTTACCTACCTGCAAGGTCCATGATGTATTCACATAACGTTGATAATCCCCACCTCTCCTAAATCATGATCCTATCACAATTTTCTCCTCTCTCAATTCATCGCTAAACCCATCATACCCTCAATGAGCTTCCATCGTGATCTCTCCTTTCTTTAGTTATCAACTTATCATCAAATTGACAACTTGTCAATGCCCATCCCAATAAGCTCCCGCCCGCATTATTCCTCCCTTTCACCTATCGCTAGTGAGCTCTGGTTAATGGTTGGCACCAATGAGCTCCCATCCTACTCCCTCCACTACATCATTACTGTCGATGGTCCCTCACATGCCGTTCGCATCCATCTTGTTCCCTAAAGTTTTTTTTATAGATTATTTTTAATAGTTACAAACAAACACAAAAAAAATAATTAGTCCATGTATATATCATATTTAAAAGTCTCCTGAATTTTAAATACTTACAACCAAACAGTTTTGTAATCATAGTAATTTACTTGGCCATAGCATATCTTCTTGTAGAAAGTAGCTTCAGTTTTAGCAAATTTGATAACTTCAAAAGCTCGGGTGTAGGTTGATCCTACTGTCTTTTCTTCAGATAAGGAGCCTTCTTCCCCTCGGCAAAAAGCCTCTAATTCAATTGGCTCTTCATATAAAGGCTCTCTTAGCTTGGACTTATCTCCCATGAAACTCTCACGATCCACCTTAACCATCAAACCTGTAGGGCCACTCATCCAATTTAGAAAAAATAAGGTACATGCAAAGATCATAATGGGAACGCCACCCCAACTGAAGGGAGAGGATTTTCAATCTTCAACGAAAGAGGAGTAGGGCTAGCTTGAGCAGTACATTGCCAAGAAAGTATATGATTAATGTATCCAAGCGAAACCCTTAAAAAATGGATAGTTTTCCTCACAAAATAGACAAGCGAAGAAGAACACGAGGACTTTGGGGAAGCAAGAAAAGCAATAAAAAGGTACCACCCTATCCTGTGGAATAAAAGCTAGTCCAGTATCCAGACAGTTTTGAGGCCCCTTAACTCAAAAAGTTTTCTGGGTTGTGCAACCAATGCAACACCTCACTCAATTCCGCGTCAATTACTGTAGCACAACATGTGAATGATGCCCACCTACTATGATGATTTGTCAACAGTAGCTGGTATCACATTAGAGAGGTATGCAGAGCTCCTGAATAATTTGGTGAAGGTGTTAGAACACTAAAACTTGCTTTGATAAGCACTGAACAAAATCATCTAGATGAAAACGTTGAAGATAGATCTGCTTAGGAAGGCGTACATATTTAAAGGGAAGATTCTAAATTGATAAGGTCTTTCACATTGAAAACAAGGGCTTACTTGTGGGAAATAATTAGTAAACTAGAGCCCAAAAATGATGAAGATTAGTCAGAGTTCAGTATTTATATAGAATTAGCACTAACAGTTATTAATATTTGAGCTTCTAGAAAACATAAAAAATTAGACCCATCACAACTATTATTTATTTATTTAGTTTTGACATCACACTGCTGTCACTTATATTTATCACTGCTACAGGCAAGTCATATGAAATGATGATAATGATACCAAAAACAAAAAGCAACAAGCATGGTATTTAAATAATCTCCATACCTATCAACCTCAATGAAAGAGGAAGTTCAGCCTCGAGAATCCTTGAAGCGCAACTTAGAATATCTTCCTTTGAATGAATCCATTTTTGCAGAGATATTGCTCTAGTTCGGACCTAGAAATTATTTCTTGATCATCAAATAATCAAGTATAAAAACATGTCCTAAGAAACTACATATGGATTTCCTAGGGAATGAACAGTTGACAAAATGTTAAGGATAATCTACAAAAGATTGAAACATCACTTGCAAAGACTCCTATGATGAACCCAAAATCTGCAGCAGCTCTGCAAAAAATGCCTAACTAACCTAAAGAAAGAATACCTCAAAAGAAGCAGTTTTTAACTTCAATGTCAATGTCCGCCCACTAAGACATTTCTCTTTCATGTCATTTGATAGTGTCTCAGCAATGTCAGCTGCAGCACAGAAAAGGTAATTATTAGTAGAATCAAATCAAAGGTTAAGCCAGAAAACCAGCAAAAAATAAATAACCAGGGCGTATGTGATGTAGACAAAGGGGGGGTCAACTCAGGTCCAAAATAATATGAATTTTGGCTTCCCTTGAGTCTACTATTTGAGCTGAAATTTTAGCTCATTTATGAGTTGGACTTTAGTTCATTTATTGAGCTAAGGGTTAGCTCATTATTAGCTAACATTTTAGTTCATTTATTATCTTACTTTTTATTAAATAATATTTATAGTTTTAATGTCTTCCTTTATGATGTCTTTTGGGATTCCAAAAAGGGCTTTTGGAATCCCAAGTTATTTGTTTAGTCTTCCCATGTGTGGCTCCTTGAATTCCACCATGGTTTTATTGCTCTCACCTCCTTGGATTCCGGCCAGCTGCTGGTTTCCCGTGCCTGCACTCCCTCCCGTGACCGTGCCCCCTTGGTTCCCGCTCAGCCTCCTTGGCTCCCGCAGCTACCTCTTCGGTTCTTGGGTTTGGGTGTGTTTTTTCGTGCAAAATATTATTGTTATGTGATGTTTAGAATTCCTATGGGAATTTAATGTTATGTGTCTTTTGATCTTCCCCTTTCATACCTATATATATATATGGGGGGTATTGTAATGTTTTAAAAAGTTGAATGATAAGTTATTTTTGGAAGCTTTAACCTGCGGGTTTGCTTTGGAAATCCTGCGGGCTCTTTCCACCCTTCTTTCTCATCCCCTCCGGAAATTCTGCAGGCTCTTTCCAACCTTTCTTCTCGGGCTTCTGACATCTTTCGTCTCTCCGCAACTGTCACTCCACCTGTATCCTTCTTCTCTAAGTGAAGCAACTTTATGGTGTCTTTTTATTTTATTTGGAGTCGTTTGTAAGAGTTTAAGTTGTTGAAATTATCGTTTGTAGTTTTAATTTCCGCTTCTTAGTTTTATTTAAGTTACCTCTTCTTTTTGAGGTATTTTGTGTCTTCTTTTATTTAGAAGTCCTGCTTTCTATTTGTGATCAAAAAATATAGGCTCCCCTATATTTTTTGATTGCATCATTTGGTATCAGAGCAAGTTAGGAAATCTTAGGATTGTGGTTTGTCAAATCTTATTTTGTTTAGTCAAGTCAAGTCTAAGTTTGTCAAGTTTGTCAAAGAGTCTTATTGTGAGTCTTGTAATTTTTTAGTCTTTTTTTGAGTTTGTCAAAAAATGAAAAATATCAAAAATATGGCTACATTCCAGGAAGAAAGTGATCAACATAATCCTGATGTCCCGCAACCATTGGACAGATGGATTCCTACAGAAGGTGACTCAACGGATCCGCTTCAAGATCGATTGTACAAGCTTCAATATCACATGTTCCTATGTGATCAAAAATTCGAGAAGTGGAAAAGATATCTACAACAGCAATTCGAGAAGGAGCAGGAAGAAATTCTGAAAAGGTTTGGCGAGAAACTCAAAGAACTGGATGAACAGTATGCACCGCCTTAAGGGAATCATCAACCAATTCATCAGGAGCTGAATTCGCAAGAAGGGGAGTCTGACGTAGACAAAGGGGGGGTCAACTCAGGTCCAAAATAATATGAATTTTGGCTTCCCTTGAGTCTACTATTTGAGCTGAAATTTTAGCTCATTTATGAGCTGGACTTTAGTTCATTTATTGAACTAAGGGTTAGCTCATTATTAGCTAACATTTTAGTTCATTTATTATCTTACTTTTTATTAAATGTTATTTATAGTTTTAATGTCTTCCTTTATGATGTCTTTTGGGATTCCAAAAAGGGCTTTTGGAATCCCAAGTTATTTGTTTAGCTTCCCATGTGTGGCTCCTTGAATTCCACCATGGTTTTATTGCTCTCAACTCCTTGGATTCCGGCCGACTGCTGGTTTCCCGTGCCTGCACTCCCTCCCGTGACCGTGCCCCCTTGGTTCCCGCTCGGCCTCCTTGGCTCCCGTGGCTACCTCTTTGGTTCTTGGGTTTGGGTGTGTTTTTTTGTGCAAAGTATTATTGTTATGTGATGTTTAGAATTCCTATAGGAATTTAATGTTATGTGTCTTTTGGTCTTCCCCTTTCATACCTATATATATGGGGGGTATTGTAACGTTTTAAAAAGTTGAATGATAACTTATTTTTGGAAGCTTTAACCTGCGGGTTTGCTTTGGAAATCCTGCGGGCTCTTTCCACCCTTCTTTCTCATCCCCTCCGGAAATCCTGCGGGCTCTTTCCAATCTTTCTTCTCGGGCTTCTAACCTCTTTCGTCTCTCCGCAAGTGCCACTCCACGTCTCCACCTGTATCCTTCTTCTCTAAGTGAAGCAACTTTAGGGTGTCTTTTTATTTTATTTGGAGTCGTTTGTAAGAGTTTAAGTTGTTGAAATTATCGTTTGTAGTTTTAATTTCCGCTGCTTAGTTTCATTTAAGTTACCTCTTCTTTTTGAGGTATTTTGTGTCTTCTTTTATTTAGAAGTCCTGCTTTCTATTTGTGATAAAAAAATATAGGCTCCCCTATATTTTTTGATTGCATCAGTATGGAACTGTACTTCAACATTCAAATGAAGGAGAAAAGCTAGCTAATTTGCTATGACCATCTACATTACACAAAAATAAATAAACTGATGTCATCCATAATATAGCCTATGAAACGACCAAAAGCATATTTACACAAGGAAAATAATAATAGGGTGGACAAATGCTTGAGCAAAAATCAGCATACGAAGAACAGTCAATTTATTTGAATAAGAGAACGAAACAACATAAGATACATGAGTAAATAAGGCATATTTGAATGCAAACTGATCATGATATTGACTGTATACATTAGCTGATTAGCCAAAAGGTTGCTAAAGATTCTTCTGTTGACAAATTCAAAATGATAAAAAGTAGCAAAGTTAACTGCGTGCAAGTATATCTTACCTAGTTTTTGAAAAAGGAAATTCTCATCATTGGTAGCATGAAATGTTCTTTCACTACTGATACTCTTCCGCGTCTTAATGTCAGGAGTGTCAGTTCTCCCTAAGCCAAGCCCAACAGAAAGGAAGAAATCTATAACAGGAGTAATGAATTTGCATTAGCTTATCAAAAGAATAAAGTGGAGTGACAACTATGAATCATCAGTAGAAATAGCACTGTAAAAGTTATTATTGGCCCTCTAAATACTGAAAATATAGCATTTTATCATTTGGAGGGACCATCACGGGAAAAACTAAATGAAAATTACCTTTTAGCAAAGTAAAACAAAGTAATGAAATCACATGCAGGGTATGAACAATGATTAGAATTCTTCTCCAAATGAAAATATATCCTTAAAGAATTTAGTCACTTCTAGAAACTTTTATCTCATCATCAATAGGCATTTTCTCCATCAAACACACTAAGAAGAGGTAAACAAATTTTTAAAAGGCTTAATAGATTGATGTGTAAATTCAAGTTCCGAATTAGTGAGGTGATTAAGAGCATATTAATCCAAATAACTTAAGCAATGAAAGAATTAATGGTGATATGTCTGAAGTGTCACCCAAACATAAATATTTTAAGCAGTATCTAGGAAAAGAGCATGCCCGAAAGCCATAATGTAACACGGCAACCCATAGCACAGTACAGGAGTACAGCACATGCGATACATAACACTTCAATGACAAGGACAAAGTCTTCATCTACCCTTACCATCAATAGGTGAAAGATGTATCAATAATAAAAAACTATTAAGAAATCTGGATTATCTTTCTAGCTTGGAAAGTTACATAGATTGAGCAAAACGCCTAATATAGCTTTTCAGAGATATTCCACAGAACATGAAGATTATGGCCTCCGTTCAATCGGTAGAAAAAACTGATCTGGTGCATTGAAATGGTTAATAGTGAATTATATCTGCAGCTCGTCTATCCATCATACAAAGAACTATTCATAAGGTTAAAGCCTAGGAGTTACATATGCAATCAATCTTGGAGTTTTCAAAAGGTTCGCATGGCGCAATATGGGAAGTGGCAGCGAGTGATGTGCAGGAAATCCAGTGGATATTTAAATATAATGTAATATTCCTAAGGTTTTAGGAAAAATAAATCATCTAGAGGGGAGGTATTGAAGAAACAGCAGGAATCTCTAGTAAGATATTATCTTGAAAGAGAGAGGAGAGGTTTTGCTATTATCAAGTAGAGAGAGAAAGAACAAAAGGGAAAAAAATGTGCCAGTTGGGTTAGAGAGGGATTTCAAGAAGTGCGATGGGTATCTTTTGAACGAGAAAGAGAATAGTGGGATATAGATAATGGGTAGAGTGAATAAATAAAAGGACACAGGATAGAAAAAGTTGTTATGCAGAGATAACATTTGTTATAGAGAATGAGGGAGATTTTTTAAAGAGGAGGAAATTTCTGATCTGAAGTAAAGAGAGAAGAATTATTTAGCCTTTAGAGATAGGCAAACAGAGGGGGAAGGGAAAGTGAACTTCAAATCTTAGACAGAATAACATATGGAGATATGGGAGAAGAGAGAAAATGCAATATAAATAGAACGAGCATCTAGAGAAAAAGTAAGAGAGAACCCAAAAAATTAATAGGATTTCTCGATTAAAAAGTATGAAAGAAACTATCTAAATTTATAATAAATGAGGAAGCTAATGGAACCTGACCCATTTCAAATTTTTGTCAAGATAGCAATTTCTATCAAAATTGACATAATAAACTTAACATCGATCCAAGACATTGTAGGTTTAATGCAATTTAATAACACATAATGCATCTAATGGATGATCTAGATGGTCGAAGACATTAATGGTCCTGAGTGTGTCCAAAAAAGTGAGTTCCAGCAAATTTAAGTCATATCTCCTTTCTTGTTCCTTCCGCTCTCCCTCTCTCTCACCAAAAAAAAATAAAGCTTTCTTTCTACTATTTTATGTTAACACCCAGCAACAAAAAGACATACAAAACAACAGGCCTGCATAATCTCCATCTATTTCCAAATTAGAACCCATTGACACCTCTCAACCTCAGTGTGATTAGACAAGAGTATGAAAGCATGATGCAGCACAAAGAAGAACAAGCCTCAAGCTCCACTGATACCACATTAAGAACTTTAGTAAAAGAAGATGAAAAAAATTATTCTCAAGGCATCTTAAATTTCAGAATTATACAGTTTTATATTTGATTAATATTTTTACATCAGCCGTGTTGATTCTGATAAGTTGAAATGTTTAAATCATTATCAAATGAAATCCAATTTGACACCGACCACATTTCATTGCTGAACCAACCCGAAATTTACTTATCATAAACAAATGCAACAAACTACCAAGATCTGATTCAGATATAATCCTAACTCATTTACAAGCTCAGTCCATTTTCTCTCATCTAACCTCCAATACTACTCATAGATGGGTCTTGTAATGCCCAGTATTATTTAAGCCCTGTTTTTTTTTTTTTTTTTTGTCCTCTCTCTCTCTCTCTCTCTCCTAAGAAACAACGCAATACATGCAAATGAAAAGTTTCCTGTCATTTCATTTGCCTGGACTTGCTCGCCTTCCATCCTTTTTTATTAGGTAGATTCAAGCTTGTTCATGATAGTTTCAAGTGCATAGCAACAGAATCTAAACAGTTATTGCTAAACTATTGATTTGGTACATCTGCAGGTATCAATTAGATAATATCACTCCTAGAAAGACAAATGACTAGTCAATAATGTCAACATTAAAACAGATGAAAAGTTTAAAACAGCAGTTCTTGCTTCTTGTGTTTAGGACTACAACAGAATTTGTTACACTTGGGCACTTCAAAAAAGGAAGGTTCAAAATTTAGTTTTAAAAGATGAAAATGAGAATAGATACCATGAATACCAACCACTTGAACAGCTTGAAAATAGTGCACAGAGGAAAGCACCATTCTGTAGAATGTCCTCACAAGTTTTGATTCCAAGAACATCTCTAAGAACATGTTCGGTCACCTTACCGATACCCCCTATCTGTACCAAAAAATTTATAAGTAACACATCAGATGTATAGAATATAAAAGAAAAAAAAATCATGAGATGTGAGTAGATTGATCAATCCTATAGCAGGCCTTTGTTGTTAATAGTAAAGCTTAAAGCACAAGTTTTGTTAGCATTAAATTGTATGAATATCTATAAGATTATTGTTGGAGCCTAAAAGATAACCAAAACAATGGAAGTAAAAGGTTGTAAATTCCCTAGATTCGATGCAAAAAATAAGAATGAAAAATAATACCAACATTAATCACATATGCTCTGTTGAAGCAAATGGATAAGACTAAGAATATAGCCAATATCAAAGCATACTACTGACATAATAAGGAAAAGCTCTGGTAGACGCACAATTTTTTTTCAAAAGGAAGATTACCTGGCTAAAACTTCTTGGAATTTGGATAAAATAGTTTAAATTTTATTCAAATGTCCATTGAATCTTGGGTATTTTGCTTAGAAGTCATGAGCAATCAAAACATGACATTATTTTCCACTGATAACAGCCCATTTAGTACTCAGCAAAAGAAAATTCTGAAAAGAATAGCTTGAATATATACTTCAAATATTTTTTAACAAAAAATCACCATGCGCACTTCTCAATACAGCATGAAAATTGATGTAGTGAAACTTTAACTGTACACCTAAATATAAGTTTAAAATCATAAACCAAAATGAGGTGGCAAAGTAAGATGGAACTGCAGAAGCAGCCCCAAAAAGGACATTTATAATCTCATACAGATAGCAGACCTGATTCTAAGGGTATGAAGGCATTAAATCATAATTAACAAAACTTTAGGCGCACAGAAGCACTATCATGAAATAATCTTGTTCTTCAGCAACTTCATGCAACATACAACATACAACATACATCGACAGTTGTAAAGTAGTCATTTTTCAAGCAAAAACTTGGCAGGACTATAAAGTAGAGTGATAAATAGATTGTCTGAGATGAAAAAATAGTCAATACTTCATGACAGGTACCAGGATTTTCCAAAAAATAAAGGCAACTATTTTCTTCACTGTTATAGTTTTTAAATATAGTTTAGCCAATCAGGAATCTTTTTCCAGCATGTACTAGCTTTGCCTGCTTCAGCTAAACTTTCGGCAGGACATCATTCATAATGCCTTCAATATTGTTAGAGAAAAATTTAGTATCTTTTAATAATTATGCCTACTCTCAAAAAATGCTATTACATCAAAATATGCATTCAATCAAATAATTCCTTCAGACGATCTTAAAAACAGTGAAACATTGAAAAGAATAAAAAAATTATTGAACTCTCTAAATTCTAGTGAGATAGACTTAAGAAGAACATGACAGGATACCTTCCGGATGGGAAGCGATGATATAAAGGTCATGATAGCCTTCCTGTCATTTGGCAGTATGAACTGTCCATTGGGCTTATTAATGTCTGAGCAAACCTAAAGATTGAACAAAGAAACAAGAGAAATAGAATAAGCAGCAAGAGAAATAGAATAAACAATTACTTCAACATATATATCATAAACATCATAGATATTTAATATCAACTTCCAAGAAGACCAAAATGATGTCGAGTTTGACAAAACTGAAGCTAATAGCAGGTCTTCTGTCCTTGATGAGAAGGAAAAAAATAATAAGTCAAGGTTAAAATGGCAAGCCATCAAGGGGAAACTATAATTGAAAGTTAGTAAAAAGACAAGCCAAACGAAAACACACCAAAAGGGTGTTTTTCCAACCAAAAGCTGCGTTTAGTATAGCGATGGCATTTAACCCTTTCAACATCAACGTTCATAGCTTTATGCCAACTAAATGGGTTGTCCCATAGTTTAATTTCACGATGCTAAATAAAAAATGCTTTGCCTCCTGAAAAACTCTCCAAAAAACTCCCAAACATTGCTTCGATAAGGGAAAAATTGAACGTAGAACCCACAACTGAACCCTCATTGGTCTATAAATTTTTTGGAAGATTTTAATTGGGAACTGTAGATTGTTCAAATTTATAATATAAAAGGGACGTATCACCATAAAAAGCTACTTACAATCTGCATCTAAAATAATAATTTATAGCAGCTAACAAGAAATCCACATATGTGAGAGCCAGTTGCAGAATAAACTTAGCAGGGCTTTGTACCCATTAAAGTAATAAGATTTTAGTTAAATATGATGGCATATCCGTGGGATCTTTCCTCAACACAAAATGTCTATTAGACCGGTCCATGCGGGACCGGCCCAAGCGCGAATGAGGCTGAAGCCTCCGCCTCCTGCTTTAGCCGCACGCACCGCCGAATCAAGCAAAGCATTTAAGGAAGGATTTTTGAGGGATTTGGGAGGGAAATTGGAATGTAGGGACTGTTTAGGGATTTCCTTTTGATTTGTATGCATTAAATACTTTGTTTTCCTAGGGTTAGCACATTTTGAATTGGCTAAAATTTGATCTCTCAGATTTAGGTTTTTTTTGGGCTCTAGCGGCGTCTAGAGATTTGGGAGAAATCAATCCTCCTCTCGAATTGAGAATCAATTGTATCTTGTTTTTTTTTTCTTCCGTTAGTTGATTTATTGCAATAAAATCTACTATTTTCCTTAGATTTCATTGGATTTTGGAAGAATTTCTCGCTGTTTTAAGAAGATTGATAGGAAATACTTGAGATCTACAAGTGTTTCCTATCAAATTGGTATCAGAGCAAGTCTTGGGACCGTTCGTAGGCTAATTTTGATGAATTTCAGCGACTGATTTTTAGTCGGGAAAGGACGAAGTTGCTATTTTGTAATCCAAATCCGGAATTTTTGGATTTACAAAAGTTCGGATCGAGATGGCGGCCAAGAAAGTTGATACGCTAGAAGAAAGGCTTAAAGGGGAGATGAACCAAATTAAGACAACGGTGGAGGAAAGGATTTTCTCCATGGAAGGACAAGTAGCCGATCTTCAGGATATGATGAAGAAAATATTGGACATATACAACCAAACGGCAGCTTCCGTGGCAAAAGGGGAGGAAGGAAAAAACACTAATTCTGAAATTCGTAGAGAGGAAGATAAGGTGAAAATCGTTGAGGGAGAAAGAAGGAAACCCTATCTGGAGCCTTTCCAGAGGGAGGATAGAGGAGATAGGTATGAGGAAAGGCATGGGTATGGAGAGACAGAGCAAGTGCTGATTGAGAATGCCATGATGGACATTATGGTCGCCGAGGTGCTGATTTTGAAGAAAGAAGAGGGTAATTCGAATAGGGTTTGGGCTATGGTAGGGCAAGGGAGGACCGGGAGAAGTGGGGTGGGTCGAGCACTTGGGAGAGTGGAAGCTATGGAGGAATGAGGGGGAATGGTGGAGATCATAAGGTGAGGAAGTTGAAGATGCCTATCTTCAAGGGGGAGGATGCATATGGGTGGATGAGTGGATCTATAGGGTGGAGAGTTACTTTGTCATTAATGGGCTAACGGATGAGGAGAAGCTGACAGCAGCAACCCTATGTTTGGAGGGGAAGGCACTGTCATGGTACCAGTGGAGAGACCAGGGAGATCTATCAAGGATTGGAGGAATTCAAGGACTGCATATAGAACGTTGTTGACCTCATTTTTCTCCCGATTTGCCATCGGACGCGTTTGATTGAATTGATCGAGCCTCGTCGAGCCTGACTCGATTCGAATCAACATTAATTTTAGTTTGATTTTATTTTGTATTATTTTATTGAATTAATTTTGGGTCGAGTCGAGGCGACTTTGAGGTGACCCGGAGCGAACCAAACCTGTCTCAGTCTGAACCTAATTTCTTCCCTTGAGTGTAGCTAAATCCTAATCAAAACTTAATCAACTTTCCAAGCCAATTTGAATCCCATCGTTGGATCAAGAATTTGATTGGACGGCTCTGATTTTCCTTTTTTTTTCCCTCTCGTGCCCTAACTAAGGCGGAATCCCCCATCTCACGGGGTATCTCTCGAGTTCCCAAGGAAAGCCGCTGCTTTTTTTTTCTCTCTCTCTCGGGCGGCCGTCCCTTTCGTCTCCCCCTCTCTCCCTTGTTCTCGATTTGCAAAGACCAAGAGGCCGAAGCCTCCTCCTCCGATCTCCTTGTGGTTTGCACGACACCAGAGGCCGAAGACCCCTCTTTCTCCGTCGACCTCTCTCTCCCTCTGGTTCGCGGAAGCCAGGCGAAATCGAAGCTCCCTCCCGCTGCTCTTCTCCTCTGCTCGGACCAGACTCTAGGATCTCAAGCCGAAGCCTTGCCTCCGCCCGATTCCTCTCCCGGACCGAACCCGACGACCCAGCTCCACCTTCCCAGCCGAGCCCAATGCAAGTCTAGTCGCTGGAATCTCTGCTCTAGTCGACCAACCTTCCTCCAAAGCAACAGGATTTGTGTCAATAGGAAGATAAGTTCTTCTTTGCATAAATTTGTTTCTGCTTGTTTCGAACCGACGTACTCATGTAGCCAAAACTTCAATTCGTCTTTTAGGTGAAAAATTGAATGCCTTGAGTCTTATTCTGTTAAACAAATAGGTGTGGCATGAGTTATGTTTAATTTCTTTGGTACTTATTCAAAGTAATCAAGCATGTCTGTGAGGCTTATTTCATGGTTGAGTTCGCAGTTAACGAGCAAAGCCTATGATTTGATTTATGTTGTTTGAAGCCTTAACTTTTATAGGCAAAAATATGTATTCACCATTAGTTTACGTTATGCAATGCATGGTTCAGAACTTGGTGTGCAGATAGGAAGGGATCATGGCATTCCCTGTTAAGTGCATGTATATACATGAGTCATTCTTCTTGAAGCTATATCTCTACATTGCCACTTTTATCACTGTTGTTACTATAAGAACTTATCTCAATTGGTTGGCTTCTTGCATATTTTAATTCCATTAGAAATTTTCATGATGGGATGAATTAGAGACATTTAGCAAGGTTGCTTTCGCATTATTGATATTCGATCAATTTGAAAACTTGGCGGATTTTCTTATGAGCATATCGTGGTTGCTGTATTCATCATAGAGGTTTTGAGGGTTTATGTGTTACAATCTGAGAGGATTTATTTAAATCCAGTTATATAGGTTTTGAGAAAGAGATAGTTTCCTTACCTCTTCAAAGAATAGCAAAAAGTTGATTCGCTGTGTGATCATCCCTCTCCGAATTCACAATGTTCAAGATAATGAGAATTCTGACACTCTTTTACGAGAAAGGATTATGTGGAATGGGTTGTGGTTGTTTAAAAGTTATTTCTGATTTTTACCAAGATTGCTCTTTGAATTTTAACACCGCTAAACGTTCTTTGTGGTTACCAAGAGTAGCTTGTAATCTTGCATTTTGACATTTGGAAGAATGATGGCTCTCTTATTTTTGTTGTTTCAATAGATCTCCCTACCACGAAACTTTTGACTTGTCATTCGATTTTGTGTCTAAAAAATAGAGAGATGCTCTCCATCGAAATCGACTCCTACGTTTGTGAAGTATGTATACTTGGATCGATTCTACCCATATGAAAAGAAATTGCTATGTTATGGATGTTGGGAAGTTCTTGAATGCAGAATTTGTTTTGAAATGGACTAAACATGATTGTGAGATAATGACACTATTTATGAGAAGTGGTTTTCTACCTCACTAGTTATTGTTACATTAAGAGTTTTGTTATGCAGACATTTGTATTTTAGTTGCTTTGATGAGGGACACTTAATGAAGGCAGTTGTATGCTTCAGTGATTTTATTAAAAAGAAAGAGAAAGTGGGCTTTTACACTTGGTTTCAATGATTTAAAGATGCTTTTGGGTTGGAGGAATAGTGTGTTATTGAATACCTTGAATTATGTGATTACTGGACGATGTTGTTGGAAAAGTCCCTATAATAGCTGGTTGTGTGTTTCATTCAAGTGCATAATCGTACGATTCGGCCAATAGGATTTGTGCTCAACATTATGTCGATATCGGTTAAAATATAGCTCTTGAATGTGGCAAAGGTCTTTATTCATGCATTAAACTCTTATCTTTCACTGTGATTTATAGCTTGGATTGAATTTTATGTTTGTCATTGTGCTCCGCTTGATTTTGAGAGAAGTATACATTTTATTTTTTCTCATTTCTTAAACTATGTTTTGTCTTAATTATTCCCAACCATTGGAAGCATTTGAGAGAGATAATTTATGAGCAATTTGTCGTTTCAACTGTATCGTGTATACTTATTTGAGCTTTATGATGTTATTAGTAATGAGCATCTTCGTTTGGTTTCTCTTTCTTATATGTACGTGGGTGCTTTCTTACTATGTGGTGGATTTATATGAACCATTGAAAGGTACATTCCTTGTTGTATGACTATAATGTGATGAATATGCAATGTTAGAATGGTAGTTTATATGGATTTCCTTTGTGTTTTAGGAAAAAGCACTTTGATTTGCTTATGTTAAAAGTGATGAATGATTGGTTTTAAATTCGGTTTTCGTATTAGAAAGTTTACAGAGTTTTGGTGAACT